TAAAAGTTCCATATAGATAGCATTGTTCAGCAGCCTCTCTTTCAAAAGCCTTTCAAAGTTGCAATAGTGCTGAATGAGGGTGCTTAACCACTGTTTTTCATAGTTGTGACTATTGCAACCATGATCATGTAATTAAAATTTGGGCAGTTGGCAACTAGCTTGCAATTAAAACAGTCACAAATCCCATGGTTATGTTTGCCATTTGTAAACCTCATTGTTCGCTTTCAACAAGCAAAATCAACAGGGAAGCTGACAGAAGATCGCAAATGGGGATCATGTGACTGTGGGACACTGCAACCCTGCAGGATTCGCCTAATGATTTCTACTGAAACTGGTTCAATTGCCATTGAAGTCAGAGTAGTCATGTGACATTATGCTATATGACACTTAGCATTGAAGTTGTTGCTCCCAATTACCATTTTTAAGTGAAGACTATCTGTTACCAATCCAACATGCATATTCTAATTTATCACATGTCTCCTAGTCTCTTTAAGTCCAACTGAAGCCATATCGCCTATAGCCAGTTATGCCCATTTTGGCAGAAAATCCATATTTACAGCCCATTTACAGATAAGCTTATTGTTTGCATTTCAGAAGTGTTTACAAAAAAAAAGTTAATAACTTTTTATGAATGTATGGTGTTTAGTACAAATAAAAGAAATAAGTACTGTATTTTTCGGACCATAAGATGCTCTGAAATATAAGGCGCACCTAGCTTTTGGGGAAGAAAACAAGAAAAAAAAATCTGCCTCTGCCTCCTTGCAGCAAACAGCAAACAGCGTGGTCAGCTTCAGCACAGCCTGATTTAGCACGAGCAGCTGATTGGCGGTTGGATCTGCCTCCCGGAATACCTCCTATCAACTGTTCCAGGTTGCGGGGATCGCTACCGTCCATCGATGCCGGTGGCGCCCATTGTCACTGTCACTTATTGCTGCCTCTGCGTGCCCCTTTTTTGGCCTCTGCGAATCCCATTTTAGGCCTCCGTGCGTCCCATTTTTAGCCCATTCCAGGAGGCGGGATTGCCATCGCCTATCCCTGCCACCTGGAACAGGCCAAAAATGGGGCGTGTGGAGGCCGAAAACGGGATGCACGGAGGGCGAAAATGGGGTGTGTGGAGGAAGTGATAGGTGACACTGGTAATGGGCGGTGGCAATCCCCGCAGCCTGGAACAGCTGATAGGCGGTATTCCATGAGGCCGATCCAACCACCTATCAGCTACTTGTACTAAATCAGGCTGTGCTGAAGCTGATCACGCTGTTTGCTGCAAGGAGGTAAATTGCTGGGAGGCAGAGGCTGAAGGGTGAGGGCCGGCGGGTGGGTGGGGCTTCAGCAACATTCACTGTATAAAATGCACAGATATTTCCACCCACTTTTTTTGGGGGGGAAGTGTATCTTATACTTGGAAAAGTATGGTAATTTATATAAAAACTGGTAACATTATTTTTCATCTAAAAAGATGATATATATGTTCCTTAGATATATCACAATGTATTACTCCAATTCAATTGCTGATCCAGGACATAAAGGTGTTCACTAGGAATAGCCAACATTGTTAACACTGTAACTTGTATATTACAATTTTGCGAACTTATACTATGTAGGACACAACTCAGTAGAGTAATGCTATGATGAAAATAGCAACAGTTGTGTGTTCTCAGTATAAATGCATCTAAGAAGAAAAACAGAACTGCGCCTACAAAGCATATGATACTTTCCCCACAATATTTGTCTAATATATCCTTCTGTTATTATTTTGGCTCTTTTCTATTCATTTTACAGATAGCTAAATACATGAGAACTCACAGTAACAAAAAATCTTTTTTTAACTTCAAGTATGAAGACCTAGTCTGTAAAGAAAAAAAATATTTTACAAACTTCAATGGTCTATAATAAAATTGTCACATTGATTTTAACTGTTCTTTATTGTCACAGAAAAATGATAAAAAATTTTTTGTCTTTTTTACAGCTGAGCAAAACGGGTTCCAAGGATGATGAATAGGAGGACTTTGATATAGGAAAACCTTAGCTGAATCCACATTGTAATAACATTGATTTTTTTTTCACAAGTTTTATAAATAACAGTTCCACACATGTTTAAATGTGTTAAAATGTACCCATCAAGAGCAACATTTTTCGGGCTTTACGATTTTCATCCAGTCACATGTTTTCCTTTAGAGGAAATATGTCAAAGGCAGTGTTGATGTATTTTGTCATGACACTGACTGTAACAATATGTAATTTTAACGTATATTGTACTAAATCATAAAAATCTTTGGTGGTAAATGAAATCAACATAGCTAATTTTAGAACACTTTAAATGCTCTAAAAATTCTAGACCTGTTAATCTTTATATTTGTATTTGAATCCCATAGTTGATTCTTATATATTTACTTCAGTATCATTTCAGATACTATTCATAGCATCCAGCCTTTATTGAAAGGCTGAAAATTTTTTATTGCAGCTGATGTTATGAAAAATATGCACCAGCTTAAATTACATTTTAAAAAAGAATGTATAGCCCAATTCAAATGGGCATCCCTTTTGTGCATAGCATATTCATTATATATATATTCTTCAGTGTGAAATATAAAACAAAACAAGGCCATTAGTTACAAAAAACAATGTAGCAACAGTGATTTCTATTTTCATGACAATTTTGCTACTACTACATTGCATACTATTGATGTTCCAACACTGGTGCGTTCATTCCATGGCAATTAGCCCATACCAAAGAATGACTCCCCATTATTTAATTGAAAAGTGTATATCTGGTGTACTCTAGATAATACCAGTCAGTAAAAAGAGAAATAATATTCCTTTGGCATAACTGCTAATATATGAAGAAAGTAAACAGTTACAAAAGTGGAGCCTACAGATAGGAAAGAAGAAATGATCTGAACTCCTAAGACAGAAATACTGACCCATTTTTCTGCCTGTTGCTGAACTTTCACAGCCAGTTTCCCTTATCACTGGCCATGCTGTTCTTGGCTGCTGGGAATTAGTAACATCTCACTATGAAATAAACTCCATTATAAATAATTGAATTTATCTCTGCGTAGGATTACACTATATGAAGAATTTTGAACAATGCATATGATAAAATAATTACTGGCATTGCCTTTGAAAATGCCATTTCATGTAATTATATTTGTTTTGCAAAAAAAAAATGGGATACTGGCTTCAGGTGCTGCCCCATTTTATTTCAGTTTCAATTTTTTACTTGGAAAAATAGATACTGTCATTAGTTTTCAGCCAGATTAATAGCTAAAATGGTACTTCGATGGATCAGATATCTTGTATTTGAGGCTTCCCTTTTTATTAAGTCAGTAGTGATAAAGAATAAGATGCCTTAATACAATTTTTTTAATTGTTGGGAGGGATTAAATAAATTTCTATTTATCTTTGTTGTGTTTTTATTTATGTTTGGGCTCTTTCTACAGACATTGGACGTGTATTAAAAATAGTCTAAATGAAGTGTTCAGTTTTTGTTAAAATAAATGGAATTGAAATACGTAAGTTTGATTTGGCAGAATTATGTATCTAAGCCATGTTAAATATTGCTACCAAATAAAATATGGTAACTATTAAAACATCTCAATATCAAAAAGGTTATTGATATACTAATAAGTGAACACATCTAAAAAGTCTGACTGAATAAAAGAAGTTAAATTGAAAGATTTGTTGGTGAAGGAAGAACAGAGGGAAGTATCTAAGAATTCACACAAAGCAATATACTACTATAGCTACTAAATTCAAGCTTCCTTTAAAAATAAAGGTTTTTAAGTGAAAAAGGAAGATTTTAAATGTAGGAGAGCTTGTTCCAGACATTGCGTGTTAGAAAATAGTAATGGAAAAATAGAGAAACAGCAAAAATATGGCCCAGTATGAAATACAGCAAGCGAGGGGTCACAACGCAAGGATGACTTGATGTCAAGGGAGACCTAAGTTAGCCTGTGTTTGAAGCAAAACAAAGTGGCAGAAAAGAGGGATGATATGTGCAAGGAAATGCAAACATACCACTATTTGTAAGAACACAGATGCTGTGCTAACATCAGGCCTACAAAACATCAAGGCAAAGAATTTCAGATTTGGTATTTTTCCATAGGGAGTTAAGATATTTCAGGAACAGCTTTTTGTACAGTTTTAACTACGAAATATTTATGACACAAGGGTTTTTGTTTTTTTAGGGAAAAGCTAATGTATCCGTGGTTCCACAAAAGTTTAATTTAGTGGGGAAACTAGTTCTTTACAGTTTTGTTTATGTCATATTTGGCAAAGAAGAGCTACACAAATTTTGGCAGATTATTTGTATAACAATGTGATTTATATGAAATGAATTCTTCGTAGAAAAATTAATATATTTGCACCTCTGATGAATCAGTATATTTTTCTGAAGAAAGAAGGAACTTTTTTCTCATCTCTCAGAGTCCACAATTGCGAAGCTTCAAAAAAATACAGTCCTTTTATTCAATCAGTCCCTTGTTCTTTGTTTCTATGGAACAGAAATCTAGTTACCTTGACAATTTATTTGAATAGACGAGTTATGGGGGAAAAACAGTTGGAATACCCTATCTCTCTTCTGATGTTTAACATGCAAATCAGATCTTCTAGGTGCAAAGAGAATATTTAAAAGGTAGGTATCTGTGTACTCATACTGTAAACTGTTTTAAGCTGTGAATTATGATCAGTTTAAAACCTGTAAAAGTAAAATTATTTCCTTAAAACTTAAAGCAATAAAGAATTTTATTAAAAACAAGTTATTATTAACTATTATCACTATTATATATTAAATTATTAAAATCAATTAGTAAAAGATTTATCTGTGAACTTAATCTATTTAAGTACCTAGAGCTATTTTGATTCTCTAAATGGATTAAGTATATTATTCAATACGCTTAATTCAATAATAAATAATTTATCTACAGTAACCATCTTACTTAAACAGCCACATAACAAATTTCAGACAAGATATTTATTTTTCTTTTCTCATCAAGTTTTATGCTAATATTTGTAATTTAAGTTTTAAAGGCAGATTACAACATGGTACTCATTCTAGTTATTAAGGCAGAAAATCATACTGATATGCTAAAGTCATGATCCTGAGTTCCTGAATAATGTTCACACACAAGATTTGATTTGTGATTCTACTTCTAGTTTCTTTCATATTTGGGCTTGGGCTAATGTCAATAGATCTTCAAAAGACTGAAACCTCAATTGCAACTCAAACAAGTTATGCCACTAAACGTTGCTATGAGTCTATGCTGCCTTGGAAACACCCATTTCCATAAGCCAAGAGCAGAAGGATAAATAGAAGAGGGCATATTCCCAAGACTGCTGTTTTTTGGATGTTTTATAAAAACGATACTTCTAAAGAAGAATTTTGGAAAAAAATAAAGTATAGAGACCTGTTGATAAGAAATGTAGTTATGACAGTAAAGGTAATCCTTGTGATCTGCCTTTGATTGCCAGCTACTTATTTAAATGATCTTGGAAGGAAATATTTAGATATATGTTTATATTATAGGTAACTGATTCTAAGGTCTGGAAAAAGAAAACTTACCTGGAAAAGCCAAAGAAACAATAAAATATAACCTTAAATTAGCTCATTCAGCCATGTTGTCAACGTACAGAAAACAAAATTTGCTTCAGAAGTCTTTACATTCAGTAAGTACATTTTTAAAGATGAAAAATTAATTTTAACTTCTCTCTATTAGTTTATGTTTCATATAATTATTTCAAACCAGTAGAAGTAACAATGAAACAAATGTAATAATGATTTCGGATATATGTAATGTGGTTTAGTAGAACATTGATACTAAATGGGTGTTCCTAGAGCTTCACAATAAAATTACAAGAATTACTATTATTTTTCTTCATACTTTTTAATACAAATGCTAAGCTATAAATAGTTTTGAAACACAAATGTAGACTATAACAACAGCAAAGAGCAAGGAAAAATGTACCATTAAGGAGCACATTTTACAAATACACACAAAAAATAAAATAAAAAGTGAGCTCAACATGTATAAAGCCAACATTAAGCATGCACAAAGCCAACATTAAGCATTTCCATAAATCAAGGAATGCTTTATTCAGTCCTGGCTGAATGTTGAAAAATATTCTCAAGTAAACCTAATAGATTCCCCCCCCCTTGCACAGTGGGCCTGCAAATAATTATAAAGTTTCACATCTATAATTGCAATGTATAGTATATTACTATTTTACATCATATTTTTTTTTAAATCTCAAATATAGAAGTCTATTGTGTATCAATCAAATTGACTCCATATCTATTTAGCTGTAAAAAAAACCTGTAATTTTTGTCTTTTTTCTTCTTGTAGTTTTTTCAACATTTTACCTTTGAGATAAATAAAAACATTTTTATTTTTTAAAATAACATTAATATGTTTTAAAAACATTTTAAAAATATTAGTGCTTGCTAGTAATTATATTAACTATAGAAATGAAGGACAGATGACACACAACTACTTGCCTAGATTTCAGCAATGAAAATTATTTTTTCCATATTCAAATAAATAGATTGTTGCAGTACTGTATTGGACCCCAGTAAACTTTTATGATCTTTTCTACAGGATGATAAAGAAATTGTTGCTTTACCTCCAATTCATAAGCAACCAATGGAAAATGTGGCAAAGGTATGTATATTTCAATAATAATGAATTCTTTCTTTCAATAAAACGTATGGTATATTCTATGAGGTTTACCCCATAGAAAATAGGCTTAGGGAGCAAGGCCTAAATGTACATCCTAAAAATCAAATTGAACATGAATTGAAATCAGAAATAGTGTTTTTTCTTGAACAGGAACAAAATTTGAATCATCATCTGGCAGTTTTTGCTAAAACTCAGCCAGAAGAGGAACTGGTTGAATGGAGGCTAGGTTATAATTAGGAATAAAATGTGGTATCTGACAATACAAAAAGAGCAAAATTCACCAGGCAAGCTGCAATGAGCAGCCCCTCCCCTCCATAAATCTGGCTGTGATGTCAACAAAGAGGCAATCATTTGCAGATACAGCCAGACATCTCTACTGCCAAGATCTTAATATGTCCAGGAGGCCTCTGTAGTGCAAAGAGGCACATGTTCTTACCCATAATTGGTACTTTGCTAATACTGTAATGTGATGTACTGATCAACGCTGCTCCCTGTTGCTCATAAGGTGAGTTCTATACTTCATCTGAATTACCTGAATGAGCTATTGGATCTAGCAGAACCAGAATAAAGGCATATAAACCAATATTTAGAAGATTGTATAGATCTTGCACAATAACAAGTAAAGCCTGTGAAGTTTGTTTATACAACTTTCCGAATCAAGACGTCAAAGTGTACTGTATTGACCATGGCAAGAGATAGATTACAGAGTGGGATATCAGTATCTTCAATGCTTGGAAAGCAATAATTTCCTGGGTCCCTAATGAAAGTTAGATGACATATGATACCAACAATATACAAGAGTTGAGATAATAAGATATATAAGTTGAGATACAACTCCATATCAGCCTGGCTTTAAACTTCAATATATGATTTAAACTTCTGCCTATTTTATTAACTCTACCCAATGTACTATCTTGTCTGAGAGGAATTCTGATCTTCAAAGCTTAATTTCTTTTCAAACATTATTGGTTAGTTCCTCTAAAAATGATCCAGCATAATTGTTAATGCTTTTTATTTGGCAATTTGGTCTTCTATAAATTCTTGCTGTTTCAATATAAGTTCGATTTCAAAAACTCGTGAACTAAAATTCTTATTTTTCCAAATATATTAATTTTGTACACATATTTCCTTCATACTGTATATAATTTTCTCTAAAACAGAGTTTCTCCATCTTGGCAATTATATGTGGACTCTAATGAATAGAATTTCCCAACCAGTGAATTGAAGTCCACACATCTTAAAGTTGTTAAGGCTGAGAAGCATTGCTTTAGAATAATGCATTATACCTATACTATATTATACCTATACTCCTGTAGTCAATGGAGAGGTGTCCTAGAGGCTATTTTGGATTTCTGCTTGCAGGTTGAAAAAGCTTCCCGTGGACATGACGTTTGTCTTCCCTCTGCCACTGAAATTGCAAAAAGTAGAAACAAATAAGGGGCAGATCAAAAAGCAGTCTATGTATAGTTGCTTCTTGATTTATGATATTATACCCGATTTTATGACCTTTTTGCCATGATTGTTAAGTTAATAACTGCAGTTGTTAAGTGAATCACATGATCCTTAAGTAAATCTGGCTTCTTCCATTGGTTTTGCTTGTCAGAAGGTGGTTGGGTAGGTCACAATTGGTGATCACATGACCTGGGGATGCTGTAACCATCATAAATACATGCCGGTTGCCAAGTGCATGGATTTGGATCACGTGACTATGGTTATACTGCAAAGTTCGTAAGTGTGAGGACTGATTGTAAGTCACTTTTTCAATGCCATTGTAACTTTGAATGGTAGCTAAACTAATGATTGTAACTTGAGGACTATCTGTATGTTATAGGAAAATCCACAGGTTTCTAGGAGAGGTGGGAAAACTATGTCAGCAAGGTTCATTTTGCACCTATTGACATAAATATGAGGGCAGCAAAAAGCAGAACACTTCCCGCCCCCCCCCCCCCCTGCTCTTTTATTCTTATTAGTGGGAGCCCAGCACGGCTTTTTTGAAGGCTCTAACATCAAAGTTCCTTACCCATCACAAAATTGAGATACAAAATGACGTCTATATGCAGTTTAGTTTCCAGGGTATTCAAAATCTGAGGTATTCGAATTATACCAATTTGCAATATCACAATGATTTAGTTAATCAAGAAAATTGGCAAAATTCATATACAGGTAACCCTCGCCTTACAACAGTTCAATTAGTGACTATTCAAAGTTACAACGCCACTGAGAAAAGTGACTTATGACTGTTTTTCACACTTACGTTACAGCATCCCCATGGTCACCTGATCAACATTCAGACACTTGGCAACTGACTGACATTTATGACAGTTGCAATGTCCCAGGGTCATGTGATTGCCTTTTGCGATCTTCTGACAAGCAAAGTCAATGTGGCAAGCAGGATTCACGTAACAACCATGTTGCTAACTTAACAGTTGTAGTTAACTTAACTTAACAAATGTGGCAAGAAAGGTCATAAAATGGGGCAAAATTCACTTAACAAATGTATCACTTAACAACAGAAATTTTGGGCTCAGTTGTGATTGTAAGTTGAGGACTACCTATATAACAAAGGAGCTGCATAATAAAAATATAATGTATTATAAGAATACTAATATCAGCCATCAGCCACACATCAAGCACCAATTATATAGCTGATTAGCTTTCAGCCTTGACAACAGCCAGCTGAGATCTCTAATCCTTTGCAGTTACCTTCAGATAATGATTGTTTTCATCTCCACAAGTACCGTACTTATCTAATGTGAACATTTGGGAACTGACAGAACAATAATTCTACATTAAACATATTTGTCTTTATTTTTAGCCTTCCAGCAACTTGAATCTCCAAAAATGCACTAGTGATATGCTCCACGAAATGTTTTTATCACCACATATTTCAAAGTCACAGAAACATGTATACAAAGATATGTGCTCAAAATGGACTGGGGTGAGTTACCATCTGACTTTCTTAATAAAGAAGTAGGAGAATACGCATCATCTTAATGAACAGTTTAAGAATAGTCCAAGGCAGATGCATAAAAGTGATAAAAATAGTTAAATAAGAAACATTAATATGCTTCTTTTAAAAATAGAATCAATTATTCATGCTATAAAATATAGAATGCTATCTGGAGCATAGCAGTAAAATATTGTGCATCTGCTGATTTTATTATTGGCGGGGGAGTATTGGAGATTTATTTGCAAAATCCTTAACAGTTGAACTCAATTTCTTCCTCAAGAATGTACAAAGAATGGATATCGGGCTTTCTTTGTTGGAGGTGAAAAAAATCTTGAGAGTTCATTGATTCATGAATTATGATCATGTGTCATTTGGTATCTCTTTGGAATGGAACTGTAAAGTATATAGTGAGGTTTATGGGGATTTTTCTAAGTGTTAAAGATGTTAATGGGATGTTGATTTATATATCAATGCTTTGGCATCTGACTGTTATGAGGAGTGATGGCTATATGGAAGGTGTCTAAAAGAATTATACTGAGAAACTAGAAAAGTTATGTTACAGATGTTAAGGAATGGCTTTTGAAAATGTGTTATTTATTCATCTTGGAAATCAGTGTCTTCTAATCAAAGAATGAAACAATATACGCTACTGTTTATCAGACATGGGCAACTTTGGATCACTACTCTCATAATTCTTGAGCATTAAATAGAATGGATGGGATTGATGTGAATTGTGTTTCAAAACATCTGGCATAGACCACCTGGACCCTTGGATTAAGTTGTGATCACTGTTAGTAGAAAGAAAGTAGTATGACCTGTGGCCCCAATATGTCCCTTTGCTATAATAAGGATTTCAAAGAGAAAACTATGTTCTAAAAAAATGAAAAGAAATTAGTATTTTAATGAAGAAGCAAAACAACTGATAACCCCTTTTCAGTAATCACAGAGTTATCACTATGCCCTTGTTATTAGTTGGTAATACATCCAAATAAAATAGTATTTTTAAGAAGATAGTTAGCAAACAGATTAATAGTTAAAAATATTAAAGATATTAAATTGCCTCTAGAAACAAAGATGCCACTGGAATATTCCATATGTAAAAATAACTGAAGAAACAGACATGAAAGTGAAGAAGCACTTAAAGGTAGGTGATTATTTTTTTCCTTTAAATATTTGGAAAAACCTGGAAAGCAAGTATTTTCCTAATGTGTGTTTTGGTTCCTTCCAGCATCAAATGTATTTTCATTTTGCTAAAAGACTGAATCGCCCTTTAAGCAATAAAAGACACCTTTACAATACAGAGACATTCATCATGAAGGTAAGAGAAACCATTCCATAAATCCCACTTCTCTAATATAATTTTGGGAAGTGTTGTGCCATTAAATAATAGACAGGTAAATTGATAAACTTATGGCTTAACTGTATATTCTCCCACTCTTCAATCAGTGTAATTTTAAAATAATTTGTTCAAATGGAAGATTAAAGATTTTATAAATTTGCTGATCATGTTGTTAATGGAATCTGTTTCTGTTGAATTGGTATTTTTCAAAATATTTGATCACAAACTCCAACTTGGTTTCAAAGGAGTGGAATCAGTTCCTTTGTTATAAGAGCACATCTATATATTAGTAAAACTCTGATTTGATTTATCTGTTTCTCTGTACTCTCAAATTAGCCCAAATGGTGTATTATACCGCAACAACCTTTGAATCAAGGTACTTAAAATCTGCTAAATTAAAGAGTTTGTAAAAAAAACCAAACAGGTCCATTATTCCTGTGGAACTGAAATTTCTAGTTTTATTCACAAAGCTGTGGCCGTTGCAGTTTCCCCACAGTCACATGATGGTGATTTCCAATGGTCCTTGCCAGCTTCTCACAAAGAAAGTTGGGGAAGCTGGCAGGAAGTCAGAAGTCACTCCCACTCCCATTGCTTTTTGGTTCACTCATGATCATTCCATGTATCTCTTTAGTTAAGATAATATTGACTTGTTCAATTTGATTTCTTACAATTATTTTTCTATTTATGATATGTATTCTTCTTAGATAATCACAGAACTGGCTGGCAGTAATGTAAAAAAGAAATGGTTAGCCTAAAATTTAATATTCATCCTGGTGACATCAGACTGTACAAAGGATGACCCAACAGGTCACAGAGTTGTCTAGTCAGTAAGAAAAATTGATGGATTTTCTTTTGTTAGATACCTCTATTTGTTATCCCAAACACTGGAAAAAATAAAGTAAAACTGAAGTGGGATTTAAAAGCATAGGAAATTGCTATGTCTAAAAAGTCAATAATAACAACCACCTTGAATAAATTTTCACTTAAGGATAATTTTTATTCAAATTTATACTAATTGCAAATACGGGTACTATATATTAGTAAAATTTAAGTTTGTTTTATTCTTTCTAAGCCTTTAATGTTCTACTTCCATGGAAGGAAAGAGATACTTGGGGTACTGTCCTCATTACAAAAAAATTATGCTTATTACAGTGGTGGGTTTCAAATTTTTTTACTAGGGCATGGCATGGCTTGGTGGGCGTGGCTTGGTGGGCGTGGCAGGGGAAAGATACTGTAAAATCTCCATTCCCTCCCCACTCCAGGGGAAGGTTTCTGCAAAATCCCCATTTCCTCCCGATCAGCTGGGACTTGGGAGGCAGAGAATAGATGGGGGAGGGGCCAGTCAGAATTTTATTACTGGTTCTCCGAACTACTCAAAATTTCCGCTACCGGTTCTCCAGAACTGGTCAGAACCTGCTGAAACCCACCTCTGGCTTATTAATAGATAATGTACTTATAATTTATGTACCTAATTACAAAACTCTTATTTCTCTTTAGCAGGAAGGAGACGGTAGAGGTCAGGTCAAAAGTTACCATGCAGCTGTCAATATTTGTTCAGAGGAGCCTCTGGTTAGAGACAAAATCTCTGAACTCACTGAAAATTCCAAATACAAAACAAAAACACAAAAATCAATGCAAAACTACAGAGAGTTCCCCCAAAGGCAAACAAGTGGCGACTTTCTTCATTTAGAAGAAAAAGACACAATCCAGGATAATAAATTCAACAGAAGAATAATATATTTATCCAGAAGCACACTTTCAGGCTCTCTGCAGTTCTCAGACATAAATGGATCAGAAGAGAATGAAGCAAAAAAGGCTGTTCACAAGGGTTACAGTTTTTTGACTACATCTCATCTGAAAACCGAGACAGAAGAAACTAAACCCCGTAGCATTTTCCTAATGGAAACCCTGAATGCCACAAATGATGTAATCTGTTGTCAGAAGAGCCCAGCAGACACAAAAACAAGTAGGGATGTAGTGAGAGGACGAATCCATTTGCCCTGTTTAACCAGAAAGAAAAAGTTTATGATCTATATCTGCGGAGGTTATCAAGGTACTTCTATAAATTTTATAGAAGACCTATATCTAATCTAAACAAGAATGAATATTCCTTGAGATTTAAATAGTTTTTAAAATTATTATTCAAACAATTAGGAAGCCAAGTAATAGCATCATCTGAAACATGAATATATCTGTAATTCTATATTTTTGTTCATTTGGTACATTTTTTAATAAATTAAAACCTTCATAGTCGGACAGCACATGATACAAGAACACTAAGCTAAATATGTTTGGATGTAGTTAGTAGCTGGATAGTGTGTATATGTATGGGCTTGTGTATGTATTCAAATAAACTAAAGTAATTAATAGAGATTCTCTTTCTAATTCAATGGGCATTCTTTTTTATACAAGTATTCTTGGGACCATTCAAAGTTAAAATGGCACTAAAGTGATTTATGACTATTTTTCACACTTAATGAGCATTGCAGCATACTGATCAATATTCAGATGCTTGACAGCTGGCATGTATTTATGGCTGTTGCAGTGTTCCAGGCCAGGGTCATGGAATCACCTTTTGCAACTTTTTGACTAGTAAAGTCAATGGGGAGGCCAGATTCATTTAACAACTGTGTTACTAACTTAACAACTGTAGTGATTAACTTAACTGTGGCAAGAAAGGTCATAAAATGGAACAAAATACACTTAAAAACTGTGTTGCTTAGTAATGGAAATTTTGGGATCAATTGTGGTCATAAGTCAAGGACCACTTGTATTACAGTTAGATTTCTGGATATAAATGCAACTCTGCCAATTCTTTTTTTTAAGTTTTAGATGTTACATAGGATTGCTTTAAATCAAGATAACGCTGTTTAGCAATTTTGCTTTGTTATTTTAATTAGATTCAGAAGTAGAACGAAATGCATTAATGGAGAAATCCTTCCCATGGCTATACAACTACTGTAAAAAGAGAGGTTATGACTTCCATGTGTTTGATCTAAGGTGGGGAGTAAAAGATGGTATCACTAATGATCATCAAATGGCTTCTCTACATACAAGGACATTAAAGAAATGCCAGAAATTGGGATTCCAAACCTTTATCGTAAGTTGAATAGAATTCGCAATACATTTTCATCTGACATTTTTATTGTGCAGTCTTATATGTTTTGGTGACGTTTGTTTGCTCTGATTAGTCCTGAGTTCACTCATCATGGTAAGAAATGACCATGGCTTGTTAAATAGACAACAACTGGCTGAATTTACACTTCAAACTAGGCCCTAATGTTTGGTTTGGACTTAGTGTGATATGGGAATCCAATACATAACTGTATTTTGTAAGCCACTGGTTCTCAACCTGTGGTTTGTGGATCTGTGGAGGACCGTGATGTTGTCACAGGGGGCCCATGAAGAAATGTTACAATTGAAATCTTGAGTAAAGTCTCGGGGGTCCGTGGCCATAGTCTGTGACCACAAAATGTATTTAAAAAGGGTCTGTGGTAAAGAAAAGATTGAGAATCACTGTTGTAGGTCACTATTTATGGCTAATCAAAGAGAACAAAAATTTCCTGACAATTAGAACAATTAATCAGCACAATGACTTGCCTCCAGAAGTTGTGGGTGCTCCAATACTGGAGGTTTTTAAGACGAGATTGCACAACCATTTGTCTGAAAGGGTATGGGGTTTCCTACTTCAGCAGGAGGTTGGACTAGAAGACATCCAAGGTCCTTTCCAACTCTTTTATTCTGTTAATCTAACCCTATGATTCGTTTTCAATATTCCATAGTTGAAACCAGCCACATACAAATCCAACTAATGAAACGTTTTGGTCTTAAGAACCTATTTCTGTTACAAATCTACTAGATGAAAGAAAAAGCAGAATTCACCTATGTACCAAAATTAATTGGATCATCTTCATAACATTTGCTTCATTGGATTGCTTAATTTCCAATTGGCACAATATATTAAATAAATTGGAATGCCATCAGCTTCAGAGAAAATAATGATTTGTTTGCTAAGAATCATTTTAAAATTATTTTCCATGCTGCATTTCAGGTTTTTATTGGCCAGAAGTATGATGATCTCTCTCTTCCAGAAATAATAGGCAAGGAAATTTTTGAGTTAATTAAAGCCACGGTGATACGTAGGAAGCTGAATATCAAAACATCAAAGAACGTACCCCCTGCTGATTTGAAAGATGAAATCAAAGTAGAGAGAAATGAAAGTCAAAGTGAAATTGTTCAGGATTTCCAGGATCCTGATGCAATGGAAGAGTTTGAAGCTGAGATAAGCAGCCAAAAAGAACATGAAGTGATTAATTCAAATGAATTGGATCTGCTTAATACTTCTTTACTCACCCAAAAGACTGTAGCTGAATATGAGAAAGAACTTCAGCTTTTGAATCAATGGTACAAGGTGGATGAAAACTGCATCCCTGCAGTTTACAAGCTTCAACCTATTTGGTAGGTTGGGTTTTGATTTTTTTAATTGGCTGATGGCATTGGTTACTCTAATAAATTATTTTTGCAGGAACCTCAAAGAGAGGAATATGCCTTTCATAGACCGGTTTGATACCACTGACTATGGTATCTTGTGGACTGCCTACAAGATTTATTTTATGATAATTTCCAGTCAGCAATCAAAGGGGAACAGAATTTCAGCCCAGTAACACTGTGAGATACTGCAGGGCATGACACTTCCCTACAGTAAGGCTGTGTATTACTTTGAAAAGATGTTTCATGTATTTGTTTCATGTTGCTCTGCTTAGACCTCGACTTACTGAAGCATCAAGGCAAGAACATCAAATGCATATGACAGTGAGGCAGCTAGCTGAAACTAGCAAAGCTAAACTATATGTTATCACTTAGAAATGTATTAAATACATGCAATACACTAAACCAAAGTTAAGCAAACCAAACCTTCCAACTCTGTTATTCTATCTTGAAATATTTAGGGTCTTTGGACTTTATTAACACTAAACTTGCTATTTTTCTTATGCCTTCATGAATAATATCACTTGATTCAGGGCATCTGGAATATTTGCATGACTGTGGTAAATTAAATTTGCATTGACTCTATTTGTTTTTAGAAAATTAAAGTTAAAACTAGGAGAACTCAAGCCTGTGGGTGCAAATTTAAGTAAGAGTTCCCTCATCTTTCTCCAAATGATATCTATTCTATTTATGATAAAAGTAAGAAATTACATCTCCCTATGTCCAGATTATCTAGAGGAGACTAGTTTTCTGCCTAATTTAGTCAATTTTTTCAGCTCTGTAGAACAGTTTTGGTCATTTTGCTGCATGACCAATACTAAATATTGGATAGGAGTGAGGAAATTTTTTCTACTTTTTTACTGAGTTTTTGAGCTTTTCTGTACCTATAACCATGGTATCTCTATAGATTTTCTGACTGGGATTAGGTATTGGAAGTATTATTTTTTGGTGTCTGATTCTCCCTGTCACCAGAAGATGGTGCTCAGGGATTATTATTTCAGAGTTAGGCCACCGGTGAATGGTTTCAAACAGTTTCAAACTCTTTTGTGCTCTATGTGGTCTGATATAACATGAAACTGCAGGAAGAGGTCAAGCACAGTTTTTCAGTGGGATTTTCAGTAGTCTGATGATAGCCAGCTCAAATGATCATCATCATTTAACTCCAAGAAAGCAAATGTGCTTTTAAACATTGTCTTAAATTCAGCAATGTGCTGGGTGGAAAGCATGTTAAAATCAAATACTGACATGACAGTAGATGCAGCTTTTTTTTTTTATTGAAAAAGTTTTCAAATACAAATTTTTCCCCCTTTTTTTCCCCCTCTCCCTCCCCCTCCCTAACCCCCCCCTCCCCACCCATCCCCCCCTGTGACTTCTTCATAACAAAAAAAAAAACCCTAATTCATAACAGATTACTTACTCCCTCCTCTAGATATTGACCTTTACTTACTAAAAATATTATTAATATTATAACATCCCCCTTTATCCATACATTTCAGAAAAGAGAAAAGAAAGGAAAAAAAAAGACATTATACTATGACATTATAGAATAACTTCTCCACTTTAAAACTATACGATAAGTCCTACTTTAACATTTAATCTTCTATATATATTACTATAACATTTCAAAGCGGCCTTCCCCATAAAATCTAGTTTAACATTTATTCCACTCTATCCATTTCCTCCACTCCCCTAAATATATCACTTAAAAATCCCTTTTCTTAGACTAATCAATCTACTAACTAGCTTATTCACCCACTATCATGCAAAATTACCATACACAACATTTCTTGATATCTTTGATTCACTGCCCACACTACTTAAAAATATATGTCTATATTTTCCATTATATCTAAATAAAAAAAAAGAAAAGACAATGACTTTAAATTTATAATCCATATAGTATCTTCATTGAGGTCTTTCCACTGGATTGGTAGAACCAACATCCATAATCGGGTAACATAGCTTGCTGGTGCAACAGTTTATTCAGGATCTTCAATCATATCTGCCCCCATCAGTAGTAAATATCTTCTTATATATATAAAAGTAAAAACAACCACCCGAGTGACATTATAATTATATTCCATATAGTAATAATTGTGGGTTTCATCAGGATTATTAATTCCCATCATCGTAGTGGGTAACAACCCGATCTTCTGCATGCCCCAGCATAATTCTCTTGCCTTGTGATTCAAGATAATATAATATGTTTATCAACACAAAAAGAAATTCCAAAATGGATAATTCAAATCCATCAGTTTAAGGCTCGTTTCATGTCCCCAGATTACGGCCATGCAGAGATCTGCCACAATCCTCAGGATGATATTAACCAATACGTCGCCTCTTCTGTGTTTACACATAATCATTCATATTTTAAAGTCACTGGCTTCACTGTTGCCTGATTTAGAAATTTCTATTTTTATGCCACCTATTTCTTTTTTTCTTTTCTTTTTGTGGGTTTGGTTTCCATCCTGGTTTCCTTTCTACAAATTGTGTATCATCTGGTCGGTTTTTATTCTGCTTTGTAGATTGGTCTTGTTGGTTTTGTTTTTGTATCTCATGTTTCTTTTTTATCCCTTGTATATCCCCTAATTGGTTTCCATGCTTATCCTTGCCTTGATAAGTCATCACATTAAGGTTAGATGCCACTTCTCTCAAATTTGTAGATAGTCCAGCTGGGGTATCCAATAAATCCAAAGGCAATTCATCTGGTACAGTCTCTGTAATTCGATATTTTACCTTTATTTCCGGCTCCTTCTGCTTATCCTGTATTATACCTGAAGATGTTAAGTTCATTTTCAACCTATTTTGATAAAATTCTTCCGCTCTTTCAACAGTATTTAGCTGATATCTTTCTCCTTGGTATCTAAATATAATACCAACTGGGGCGTCCCACCTGAATAGGATATTTCTCTTTTTTAACTCATTTACCAGAAAACCAAATTTCTTCCTTTCCATCAATATCTTAGGTGGGAGTTCCTTGTAAATCCAAATCTTTCTTCCATACAATTGCAAATTAGAATTGAAGGAATTTTGCACGATATTATTCCTAATTTCTTTATCTGTAAAATAAATCACCACATCTCTAGGCAATTGCCTTTGCTTGGCAATCCAGGAGTTGATTCGATAAACTCTGTCAATCCTACAAAACACTTCGTCAGGTTGAACCTTTAGAATCCCAGCTAGAAATTCAGAAGATATTTTCCTTAAATCATCTCTATTATTTTCCTGCAAACCTCTTAATCTTATCGCATATTCTGTGAAATTATATTGTACCATTAAAATCTCTTTTTCAATCTTCTGTTGCAGATTTTCTGCATTACCATACTTTTGATCAGCATCCATTTTAGGTTTTTCTTCTAAGCTATTATCCTGAGTGTTTGTCAAATCATTTTCAATTTTTTGAATTCTATTGTCCAATTTATCTTGAATTTCTTCCATTTTAGATTCTAGTACATTAGTATTTGTGTCCAACTGTATCATAAATTCTGTAAAGCCATTAGCCACTTTTGAGAATTTTTTCTCCAAAGAATCAAACTTAGATTTCACCAATTCTTTAATTTCCTGCTTAAATTTTTCAAGTTGCTGATTCACAATCTCCTCCCTTCTTTCAATCTCCTCTATAAAAAATTCTATTATATTAAAATCAGGTTTCTGAGACTGAAGAGTTAAGACTTGTTCCTTTAAGTTGTTGGTGGGGGAATCCCCCCCCCCTTCTTGTTTATCTGACTTTATGAGTCTCAGTGCCATGTTTCCGCCCAGGCAGGCTTTGTTAAAAAAAAAAAAAAAAAGGGACTTCTTTCCAATCAACAACAATATCAAGTCTCCAAGGGAAGAAAAAGAGAAAAAGACACAGGAGCGAAGTTTTGTCTACAAATGTAGCCAGTGGTATTTATTCCGCTACATTGTAGTAATAGAAAACGGAAGAACTTTCCCTTTCAGTCTCTCCTCCAGCCGACGCCATTTTAAAAGGCTTTTTTTCCTCTTTCTTTTCCTCCTCTCTCTTAAGTAATTTTTTAAAAAATCAGTAAAATACTTGCGGTTCAGTATTACAGGTCCAGCTCACATTTTCTTTGAGTAGTCTGTTAAATTTGCAGGCTTGCTTTTGACGCCTGGCTCTGCATCAGCAGAGGTCTCCCAAAGCCCGGAGCAGCGGCTGGGGATACGGGGCATCTCATCCGCTCCGTCCCAAAAGTAAAGGAAAAACTTTTGGGACTCCGCAGAGAGTTCTACCCACCCCTGCCGGCTCTATCTCCGTTTCCTCATGGAAACGGAGTTTTTTCGAGCCGCCATTCCGCTGTGAAGGCGGCTCTGACAGGCGATGGAAGCTGACGATCCCAAAGGAACGTCTGGCAGCGACTGATGCAGCTTTTTTTTTCACTGGAAATTTGACTCATGGATTGTAATTTATCCTGTTTTGGGTGGAGTTGCACTCCCTTGAAAGAACAGATCTGCAGTTTGGGAGTGCTCCTTGATGAACTTCAAATATCATCATATTCCTAGGTAGCAGCTTGGATAGAAAATACTTCTAAACATTTATGCCATTTGCAGCCATTTCTTGTTGGTCAGTTTTTGTGATAATTACCCATACTTGTTATACCTGTTTTATTTATTTTATGTGATGATAACTGAAAGGTGTATGAAAGTTGTGACTGATGCAAAATGCAACAGGTAAGCTAGTAACTGATGTCCACATTAAAAGATCTGTACTAATGTTTTCCAGGTACAATGTAAGTTGTTACTTTAAAATTTTGAAACTCCCAAGTACCATAGACCCTAACTTTTTGAAGAATATTCTCTCCTATTATTAAACTAACAAAACATTAAGATTTGTAAAGACTCTTCTGAAGTTTCTTATGGTTCAGAGGCCCATCTAATGGATTTTCAAAGCTAATGATTGTATCATTATGATGTTTCAAAATGAACTTTCTTTTATATTTTTTTATTTATACTAACTTCTTTTCCTCTATTTCCCACTTTGGGTGTTCAAGGTAAAAGCAATCAAGCAAGCATGTATTGCTTTGGGAGGCAATCCCAGATGTAGAATAACACAATTGCCCTATATAACCCCATATTTCTTTTGTCCATAACACATTTTAAAGAAAATTCTCCAGTAGTTGCTTTCACTTATCACTAGAGTGAGTGTATATTATAGTAAGATGAGAAGAATGTCTTATTAATTTGAAAGTGGTTTCTCATACTTTGTACATTTTATTTTGTCTGCCCAGCACAGTTTACAGAGATATCTTCAGTAAAGATCCAAGTCGCAGACAGCAAGCTAAAAGCAAATGGCTGGAGTCTTTCCAGAAACTGCATAAGATACTTCAGGAATATGCTACAATTGTTCTTGGTCAAGAAGATGCAGCCATGCTGCTTAGAACAAGTGAGGCTATCCAAACTACAATCCGTATGGTATTTTGTTATAGTTGTTCAAGGAGAGATTTATTATATTAAATTGATTTCTCTATGTTTTCCAAGCTCTGCAGCAGGAAGTGAATCAAGGATTCCGAGTCCAAGGAACACGTGAGGATCACTGTCACTGCTTCAAAAGAAATATAACTGACCTACAATGCAATCTGTCAGATCCCCAGGCATCTAAATATATTGATATCCACCCATTAAAACTAGAAGTGAACAAAACTATTAACGAAGAACATCAAAACTTTGTGAAGAGCATTCATTCCAGGGTAGGATTATCAAACGGGCATAGGTTGTCATGTTCCGTACAAATAACGGTAAATTTAAAAGTACCCTAATTTTCAGATGGAAATATTTAAAGATCCATCGTTGATGTATTATGGAATCTGAGAATTGTAATGCATCTTATTATAGTATTGTAAAGGTTGTTGAGGTCTATGGCTAAGCAATGCAGCTGTTTGAAAAAAATGTATTGAGTATGCTGAAAATCTTGATTTCCTAATCAGCTATGGACCATAATGTTAATGGAAATCTGAAAAATTAAATTTATCATTTTATTTGTTTAGCATTTATTCACCACTATATACTGAGTCTGCTTTTTAGTCAAACAGTGTAAGAAGCTTTGGATCTTTTTTGTGTTAATCTACTTGCAAACACTTTCCTTCATATAGAAGTTAATAGATTTGCTTTTACAGCTTCGTCATACAAATATTTACAAGAAGAATGTTAGCTGGGGAAAAGGTGGCATCAATCCCAACAGGAACAGGTCCCATGCCTACTACCTAGAATGCCTTTGCAATGACTTTCAGAAAATTGTTGTTAATCATTTCAACAGGTTAGCTTCATATCTGCTTTTTGAAAAGAACTGTGGACACTGAATGCATAACTTATTCCTAAAACTAGGGTTCAGTCAACTGGTTTTCTATACTTAGTCCTAGAAATAGAACAAAATACATTATTGTTGCCTTTCCATGCTTAGATTCACTTCCTAAGACAAATTACAAATTAAATTCCGTTGGCTATATTTATAGATCACTTCTGGGAAATCCTGACCAACTTGATTTCTGTTAGTCTGTTCTAAGTTTATATAAGTTTGGATTCAGATATGAAAAGATAAATGGTGATGCACTGAAAGTAACAGTAACATTCAATAAACTGTGATGCTAAAAAGTAATACCTTTTTGAAAAAATGTGGTTGCTATTGTTAATTGAATATTTTGAGGTCTGTGCTATATATGTGTCTCTTTACTTATATTAAACCTTTCTACACCTTTGTGAAAATGGTAATTTCAAATAAATACTGCACAAAGGACCAAACCTTATATCCAGTACTGAGTAAGACTGATCCAAAATGATCTAGGACAGAGATGGCTAACCTTTTTGCCATCGCGTGTCAGGAGGGGGGGGGTCAGGGGGGTCACACGTGCATGTCCACACACATAATTCTATGCGCCCTGCCCCTGCGCATGCGTGCGTACCCCTCCTGCTCCCCGGCTCCTGGCACGCGATGGCTAGGTAGGCCCGTTTTTCTTTCTCACCTGGCTCCAGGGCCTCTCTAGGAGTCTGGGGAGGGTGAAAACGGCCTCCCCCCCCGGAGGTCCTCTGGAGGCTGAAAACGGCCTGTTTGACAACTTCCGGTGGGACATCCTGCCGCAAATCCATCTCCATTGCCTTGAGCCTCTCTGCCTTCTGAAGATACCGGAAGTTTTCCACCCCATCTCCAGGCTCTCCGGAGGCAGGAAACAGCCTGTTTCCCTACTTCTGGTGGGCCCAGAAGCTCGCGTGTCCACTGATAATAATAATCACATGCCATAGGTTCGCCATCACGGATCTAGGATATATCTGAATTCAAATGGAATTGGGAATCCCTTAAAGCAAAGCAAAGCAAGTTTGGATACTTTCTTCTACATGCTTTCATGAACACTATAACATACAAATTATTTTTCTCTATTTTCATTTGACCAGAATCATCAGTTCAGAAGGAATGCCAGAAAGACTATGTACTAAAAGAAAGCAAGAATTTAACATTCTTAATGATGAAGAGATTCTGGAACACATTCAACATTATCAGGCCTTGTAAGTTTTGTAGGGTTTTATTGCTTATCAGAAATACTTTTTATTAAAGGGAATATGAGTTTTAAGGGTTCACTAATGAATGTGGTACCGTAATATATAAATACATCTTTATTAGCTTCTTGTACTGTGGGTGTTTGAAGCAAGCTGGATTCAACCCTTTAGTTCAGAGATCTTCAAACTTGGCAGCTTTAAGACTTGTGGACTTCAACTCCCAGAATTAGCATTGCTGGCTGGAGAATTCTGGGAGTTGAACTCCACAAGTCTTAAAGCTGTCAAGTTTGAAGACCTCTGCTTTAGTTGAACAGCGTTCAGGCCATTCCCCAAGAAAAAAAATATTATGTTGCATACTTTTAATGTTATATCACAATACAATAATGAAACAACATTAGTGTAGTCACTTGATCTTAGCCAAAAGGCCGAGAAGCGATACCTAAAAGCAGATGACTTTTATGTAGGCTTTCTCCTCCAGGATTCAAACCCGGCTACCATGCGTGCAGTGGCAAAATTCTGTGTCACTGCAATGTCCACAAGAAAAAAATTGGTTACAGAATTATAGCTGTCAACTTGTGCCAATTTTTTGGAGATATCTATAACAATTTTTGGAAAAATACATTTACTCACATACTTATCGGCTCTCCACTCACATAAATTAGGGAGTGACCCTAATGGATTGAGATCATGTATTTTCATAACAGGGATGTTATTATTCACTATTAATGTCAGTTTTATTTTTAATATATTGTATGTCTATTGCTGGTTGATGACCATAATAAAGTTATATTCTATTCTATTCCATTAGTGTAGTCTGGGGAAATTTTTTGTAAGGAGCTGTACAATCAGACAGGTTAAAAAGTATTAGTTGCCTATTCATTTCAGTCTATTCTACTATTAGACTGGCAGTCTATTCTCTTGGTAGCATGCACTAAACTGACTTTAAACAGAGCAGAGCAAATATTTCTTTGAGTATTTACTTTAATTTGCAAATAGCCTGAATTGTTAAGCATTTCATTGCTTCAGCACAGACTGGGAGCTGCATGAGGGGGATTGAAAATTACAGCTTTCAGTCACAAGAAGTGCTAATCAGTATGTAGCCTAGGTCACAACAGCTTTGTTAGTGCAGATCATATTTAAGTGGACTCTGCTTTACTCAGTCAAGTTTTCTGGTGTACATTACACAATGAACTCAGACTGTATTATCAAATGTGGTTAATTCATTTATGGTTCCTTATGTTGTCCCAACACCATCCACTTAAAAAAACTTGAGGATTTTAAGTTAAAAGGAGGAAGAGGAGCAGAGAGTGGAGTATTTATTACATTGTTCCCATAAACCAGTCCCATATCAACCATTCTAACATAGATATTGCCTTTAGTTTTTTTAATTACGCAGACTTAAAAAACACTAAACAAATAATTTTTGCTTACACTATTTCTAATTGGAGTATGTTCCGGGGGTACAGAGATTGGATGATTGGTTTCCAATGCTAGCAGGCCACTAAAGGTTTATTGGTGCTTTGCAATCTTTAGGTTTGGTTTAGTATGAATAGATATTAGCCCAAAATTACAGTGCCTTCTCCAAACTGCATGCTGCTTTCCATTCCACTTGGCTGATCCCTCCTTGGGGCTGCGGTGGGAAGGGGTAGTTTTCTCCAAGCATTTGTTAGCACTTCCTGGGGCTTTTTACCTATAGCTTCTCCTAAGAAAGGAGGGCCCTGCAGATTACCAATTTTGCAACTGCTATAAAATATATTTGTAGTTATTCTGACTCCATTAACACTTTCCTGTTCAAGTGCAAAGCAAGGTATTATTACTCGTATAAACAGTCTAAAAGCAGACATCTGAATGTTATTGGGACAGAAGACTCCAATTTTAGTTCAGGAAAAAAGTATTCTGTTGGAAGTCTGGGATAAACTGGTTTGTTTAAGTTGATTAAAAATTGTGATTTTCACCTATGCCATGACATTACAAAAATATGCTTTTCCATTGCAAATAGGATTAAACGTATAAAAGGAAGACAAATCTTCCTGAGCAAGCTGAAGAATCAGGTTACATCTTTAAACAGAAAAGTAACTGTTGTTTGTGGTGTGGCAGGATCGGGAAAAAGTGGGATCATTGCAGAAGTAGCTTCTTTGGCTTCAAACTGGATTTCTGGGTAAGAAGAATTATTAGCACTCCTTTCTGGCAGGGATATTAAGAACTGTAAGTCCTTGGAAATATAGGTAGCTTGAAAATTCAAAAAAAGTCAACATAGAATTTGGACAAATTCTTAACAGATCTTAGTTATTGCTATCTGGCATGTTTGCTTCTTATGAATTAGCTTGATTTGGATCCCAAAGTCCTCTGAATTATGTAAAATAACTTTATATTGAAAAATGAAAATATATATTAAGTTTGTAATAATTTGCATATTTTATGCTCAATTCAGTTCAATAATCACAGTTTTTAAAAAAGTAATTATTTAAAAAACATTCCCTATATAGTATAACTATTTTATTTATTGAATTGGGATAGGCCATCATCACCATAGGATCTTGAAGAAACTCTACTAAACATATAAAATATAGTTCTTAAAATGTACCAGGGATTACAATGCAGCACAAAACATTATTTCTAGCAGATTCTGAAATAAAAGATAATTCAAGCAATAAAAGCTAAGATTTTTTTGGTCTTTTTTAAAAAAATGCAAGTAGTTTTTAATTTTAAAAAAAATCTGAGTGAATTCACTCAGACTGAAAAAAGAGCTCCCCTTGGAAAAATAGTTTGAAGCAATAACTTTTTGTTGCCCAGAATCCAGAGGTGAAATCCACCAGGTTCTAACAGATTCTGGAGAACCGGTAGTGGAAATTTTGAGTAGTTTGGAGAACCGGCAAATGCTACCTCTGGCTGGCCCCAAAGTGGGGTGGGAATGGAGATTTTGCAAATCCTTCCCCCAGGAGTGGGGAAGGAATGGGGATTTTGCAGTATCCTTCCCCTGGAGTGGGGTGGGAATGGAGATTTTGCAGTATTCTTCCCCTGCCACCCCCACCAAGCCACATCACGCCCACCAAGCCACGCCCACAGAACGGTAGTAAAAAAAATTGAATTTCAATTTTTCACTGCCAGAATCCCCCTATTTCACCTTATTTTGTGGAACAGGGACCATATTACAGATAGGCAGTCTTTCAAGTAACCTGACCCAAACCAAAAAGGCTTTAAAGGTTCAAGCTAGCAGTTTAAAGAGCCTTTTCCAATGGGAGAGTTTATTTGTTTATTTCTTCCTTTTTGACCCAGGAATCTCAGAATTGTGCTTCGATTTATTGGTATAACTGGAGAAAGTAGAAATGTCCGACGGCTGCTTCTGAGTCTTTGCTACCAAATAGCTGACATTTATAATATTTCTGTCACTTTATCTGAGGTATTATTTATTTCCTCCTTGTTTTGATCAAGCACCAATTCATTTTTATTATACCTTCATGCTTTTTCATATAAAACAGTAGGCAGCAGATCACAAACCTTGGGACAGAGATGGGATCAGTGCTCCCTGTGAGTTCTAGGGCAGATGGATATCTTGAGTAGAACAAAACTCAGAAAAGCTATGCAGCTTTTTGTGTGTGGCAAAAATAGGGAAAAGGCATTTCCATCAACTTCTTCTAGGAATTGTTTTGTTCTGAAATTTCCCACCATCATTTGCAGCCATAGGGCTGTCTGATGGTCTCCCACCTACATCTTTACCAGGCCTGGCCCTGCTGTTTATTTAGACAAAATAGTATTGTTTTCCCAAAAGGCCTAATATAGATAATTCTCAAAACTTATAGTACTATTAACATTCTTAAGACAGTCTCATCCCCTAAAACTTTAAATTTTTCTTTGAAAATGTTTCACTTCTCATCCAAGAAGCTTCAGAATTGAAGGGGAATTGAGAAGAAGCTTCTTGGATGAAAAATGAAAGTTTTCAACGAAAAAAAACACCAAGAAAACCCAGTTGCCTTTTGTGGGGAGGGGGGAGGGGGGAAGCATCTCTGGACAGCCTTCGTGTGTTCCAAAATATCTCATCTGAGTAATTTTTAAAGCATGCAGAGCCCTACTAATAGCCACCATGCCTGAGCTACAGCACAGAACTCATTATCTAATCATATTTTGTTTTTCTCAAAAAAGGATTTTGAGGGACTGGTAGAAGAATTTTCCTCTCTGCTGGAATTTGCTACACAAGACAAGCCACTCCTAATCTGCCTGGATAGTATAGATGATTTATCAGAGGAATATGGTGCTGCCCTTTCTTGGATACCACCTGAATTACCAAAGAATGTGCATTTTATTGTTTCTACTTGTTCAGAATCAGACATTTCATGCATAAGAAAACTGGAGGTAAAATGAAGTTCCTGAATGAATTGTTTTTCATTCCATATTTTCTCAAATAGTTGGAATTCCAAGAAAGCTTAATAATGCCAGGCATCTTTGAAGCAAAAGCATCTGGCAACATAATAATATTGATTCCTTATAACAGGGGTTCCCAACCCCTGGCCCACTGCTATAAGGAATCAAAATTATTACGTTGCCAGTTGCTTTTGCTTCAAAGGTGTCCACTACCAGACTGGGGCCTATTCGGAACAAGGCTATGTGAGTGGTTGGCACGTATGCGTGTCTGCCGGCCCACCACATGCACAAATTGAACTGCATGCATGCTGACCCACCACTCATGCAGCCTGGTTTCCTTCTCCCCCACTCCAGCTGAGCTGCCAAGCCGCAAAGGTTGGGGACTGCTGCCTTATAATACAGTCATAAATTTTGTGGGATCAGCACAGGATTCACAAAATTGTCCACCGATCACCCTATTGTCAGGGCAAAATAAGGGACATTTTCAGAACTTAAGATTCATTTAATTATTGAAAGGGAAAGTTTAAATTTTGGAAGTTGCCATTTCAGAATATCTAAAGAGTGGCAGAATACTATTTTTGTTCTTTCAGGTTCTCAGGAAAAGTTATGTAACAGTCTTATCGCCAACATTCTATTAACCAGTGTTGTGGAATTCTGTTAAATTCCCTAAGCATTATAGAGAATATATTATATTCCAGCACATTTTTCTACCTATTTGTAATATTTTATGTTCCTTAGACAAAATGATAATAGACGAATGATTTTGTTGTGCCTGTTGGCATACAAATCTAACTTTTTTAAATGTAAACTGGAAAAAATAAAGCAATGTAAAATTTCCTTTGTTCATTGTTGTTTTAAACTCAGACCTCAATTTCAAGTTTGCATTCATATTCAAAGATGAAAACGAAAATGAAAAGTTTTGTGTATAAAGCAGGACCTTTTTTCTTTTAAATTAATATTTACAACAAAGTGTGCGTGTGAAGGGTGAAGGGTGGGTCCAATAGAAAAGCTTCTCATGTTTTATCACCCTGGTATTTTGATCTTTTCTCAGTCTTAGTACTAGGTAGACTTGGTGAAACAGTGCTACGAAATTGAACTCAGGAAGACAAAATAGAAGGGGAAAAATCTGCTTTTGTTCCTCTATACACAGTTTAATGTAAACCTACTTTGCAGCTATGCACATATGTGTACTAAACATGCACAATTTCAGTTGAGTTTTGAGTTTATATTGTAAACCTGAAAATCAGACCTGTGATTATGGGATTAAGTGACAAAAAAATCTCACTGTAATGTAAAATTTCCTTTGTTCTAATATTTGATTAGATTGTCTTGCATTTGATTAGCAAAAGTGATCTTGTTGCTTTTGTGATTGTTAATAACAGAGCAAAAACTGAGGAATCTTTATTTTATTTAGAAAATCACCTTGAAAGAACATTTTTTTCAAATACCTCCTTTAACATTTGAAGAAATCAATGAAATTATCATCTGTTGGCTCGAAAAGGATCATCGAAGACTCTCTCAGTATCAGTTCAATCACTTAATGGAAGCATGCAAAGCCTGCCCATTGCCACTTTACCTATACTGTGCTTATAAGGAATCCTGTTTATGGACATCTTTCAGCCCAGACACAGAGGTGTATCTCCCTCAAAGTATACCTGACATGTATTCTTGGAGGCTGAGCAGAATGGAAAGATCTCATGGAGAACAAATTATACAAAGGATGGCAGCTTATTTGACACTTTCAAGAAATGGCATCACTCAGGAAGAATTGCTCAACCTCATGTCAATGGATTGTGTGGTCATTCAAGAAATAAATAAATTCCAAAAAAGCTCAGTGTCAGCATTTCCACTAGTGTTATGGCTGAAGTTTTTAGATGATCTTGGCGATGATTTGAGAGAGCAAAGAACTGATAACACATATGTTTTTGCTTGGGCTCATACGTCTTTAAAGCATGTGTGCATACAAAGATACCTGAAATCACAAGATTCCCAAATATCACTACATGCTATCTTTGCTGACTATTACCTGGGTAGAAGCTCACAGGAGTTCAGGAAGTGCAATGAGCCATCAATATTTCAGCCTCTGGCCTGGACTCTCAAAAAAGGATCCAAGACTAGTTACAACTTCAATATCCGTAAAATCTTTGGGGCTCCATATCATCTCATCAGATCAAAAAATATTGCTGCTCTGATTAAAGAGTGCCTCTTTAATTATGAATTTCTTTTGTACAAATCCTGGGCCTCATCAATTGTCAGTATTGAAGAAGATCTAGGAGCAGCTATTAATATTGACAGGTCAGTTCACAAAAGTAAAATAGAATTCTGCATTAACCTAATATAATGAAGTAGCTCATTATTCCCCACTTACTACATCATTGTGAGCTGGCTAGGATTCCCATTAGAACTAGGCGTTTCCAGAGAGTATCAACTACGGAAAGTCTGCAATAGTCTACATTGAAATATGTTTTAGAGATTCACTATACATCAAAATAACATTCAGATAAAGCCTGGCTGGAGAACATTATTTATTTTATCAGATCTGTATGCCATCTTCTCAAAGAACTCTAATCAGCTGTTTTTGAACTCCCCTAAGCCTTGATCGGTGTACCTGCTGGCTAATAATGAAGGGAAAAAATAGTTCAACAACTCACTAAATAACATGTTTCCTATCCTTAATAGGAGCATTTCAACACTCTAATTATTTGTCACTCAACTATTTTGTGTTTATATTCTACTCATCATTTTGTCATGCAATGAATAAGGAATACAATAGCTCAGCCTTAGAAAGCTTCTGTATAAAAACCATGTAAGACATTTGCTTTGGGGGCAAAGAAATCAAAACTATGCATGCTGACCATTTTTTTCTCTGGCTCCCCCAACAGGACTATACCTGACTTAGCCTTATTAAGTGAGACTCTCAAATTGTCCAAGAGGGTTTTAATAAAAGATCCATGCCAGATGGCTTCACAGCTGACAGGCCGTCTTCATCAGATTGTTGCAGCTGATATACCAGTAGCACCAGGTAGAGCAAATTCTGAGCCTCTGATTTTTATAGAAAAATTCTGATTCTACATTTCTTTACGGTGTTTTGGTTTTTAATCTGTAAATGTCACTACTGGGATGTAAACAGCAAAGGCAGAACTAAACTATACTATTCATATATACCTGGAGAATTAATCCCATAAAACAAACTGCAGGCAAACATCCAAACAAGAGTGCACAAGGGAAATTTAATAGGGTGATTCACCAAATAAGCAAGACCTAAACCTAGATTTACATTAGAAAACATTTATAGTTTAAATATATAACAAACAACAGGATAGGCAGAGAGGAGCCACCTAGGAATTTGAAAAGAACTGTTTAGTCATTTCCAAAGGATAGCAAGGATTCAAAGCAATTCAGTTCTTTAGCTTTAGTTTAAAAGAATTCCTGATTTATTGATTGGGATGATTGGGATGTTTATTAGCGTCTCAAAGCAGATCTCTTTTATGGAAGACCCATTTCTCTTTAGCATTGTGTGCTCTATTGATATGCCTTTGTGGAAAAAAATAGTTAATTTGAATTTATTGGGAAATTAGTCATTAGTTATTTTTAGAGAAATGTTTCTAACAATGTCTAAGCCAATCTTGTATTAATTGGGAAAACTTGTAGCTACAAAATTCAGTATGGAGGTTTTTAATTATAGAAGGTAAATGATTAATAATTACACTTTGAAAGCTATAGCTCTTAAGAATTGGAAACAGTAATGTAACATGTAATATTTCCTGTATAAGATGTATATTACAGTATTATTATTAATACATATTTTCCCATGTTGATTCAGGTGATCCAAAAAAATACCTTTACCTGCCAGTTCTTTTATCCCAGTGTCAGAAATCTTCTATTCCTGTTCTTATACCTTCAACCTCTTGCCTTATAGCTCCTGGTGGACTTCTCTGTGATCTTTTGAAAGGTGACAATATTATCTTTTCAGAAATGATTTAATCCCTAATTCATGAAGAATTTTACATAGGCTGATTTCCATAAATGGCTCAGGACCTGGTTATTTACGAAACCGCCTTCTGCCACCGGTAGCCGCTCACTGACCAGTATGCTCCCACAGAGAGGGGCTTCTCAGGGTGCCGTCGGCCAAACAGTGTCGACTGGCGGCCTCCAGGGGGAGAGCCTTCTCTGTGGGGGCACCTGCCCTTTGGAACGAGCTCCCCCCAGAGATACAGAGGATCCTGGATTTGCGCATTTTCCGCCGTGGCCTCAAGACCTTTTTATTCCATCAAGCGGGGCTGGCCTACCCCTTTTTAATTGTTTAATTTTAATTCGGATCTGTTCTTAAAAATAGGGGTGTTTTAATTAATGGGCCAAATCTATTTAATATGTCTTTTAACTTGTTTTTAAATTTTATATTATATTTGTTTTATTTATGGCTGTTCACCGCCCTGAGTCCTTTGGGAGTAGGGCAGTATATAAATTTAAATAAAGATAAAGATAAAGATAAGATTTGGCTAGTACTATATAAATGTATGTAACCTGCAATTTGGTTCAGACAAATCAACTTTGTTATTATGTAGGTGTGCTGAACAATCTGCCAATTTAAAATTGGTTGGTTATTATAATCACGAATTTCTTTTCTTTTAAACTTTAACTTGCTGGTGCTGAAAGCAAATAGTTGGACGAGAAGCAAAATAACTAACCATCTTTTATTTACAAACATAATCACTGTTATCACAAAAAGTGTGTACCCAAGAGAAAGATAAATCTTTCATTCATTTGTTAGCATTGATGCTATTCAATCTACCTCTGACATGTTATTGATTTCATTCTTTTACAATACTTGATAATACCATGTTTCACAATGCTGTACTCTCTGATAACACCAGGTGCTACTATGTATAACAGCCCATAGATTAAAATTTTATGACAACCAGGCACAAGGAAACAACTCTTACTATTCTTTGTAAGGATATGAATCAATTCTTGCATTGCATTTAACAATGCAGTACAATCAGTAATAGGATTTCAGTTGTGAAAAAAAATCTTTCCTCGAGTTATAAAGGAGGTACCAATACAATATTGTATTTTTATAAGACAAGAGCAGACCTTATTCTCAGAGCTGTTTAAGGATTTATTGTGGAGTTACTAATTGCTTCTTTCCACTAATTGATTTTAATCAGTTTTATTGCTCTTGGGGTTTGAGCAGAGCAGTTCTAAATATAAATCAATTGGCTGCAATCTTTGATGCTCTAATCCATCTGGCATCAAGACAGAAATAAGAATTGAGAGATGTTTGTGTTCAGTTTTGTTTGCTGCTGATAGTTGCAATATTTTTTTGTTCAGCTCTTTGTTGTCTTCCACTTAAAAAAATCCTGGAAAGGAAATTGTGTAGATCAACCAAGCCAAATTTCTCTTTGACTTGGTGATCTAGAGAGGAGCTACGGCATCTCTTGTTTGCAGGGGAGAGGGCAGGGGGAGGAAAAAAAAAAACCCAAACCAGAATTTATAATTTCAGGAATTTCTAATCTTGGAGGCTGGAAAAAAAGTTTTATCCCTATAATCATAGCCTTTTCCCCTATATTTGGCTATACTTTGGGAAAGATTTATATAGGAGATGGTGAGTTGATTACCCAGAGACTTTATACACTTTGTTGAGGAATGATATATTCAATGGGTGTCAATACCTGACATTATTTCTCATGCCCAACTGAAACATTTAGCATATCAGTATCCTTCAGAAAATAACATTCTGTAGGTCAGGTACATGGATTTATTCATTGATCTAAAAATATTTCTGATTTTCTGAAGTATTAAATATTTCTATTTTTGATATTCTATAATGTTTGATATTAATGAGCAGAAATATCTGAAGAAATAGCCTAGTAGTCCTTCACAAGAAAAATATTAATTTTCACTTTTTCATTCTGTTCAAATTTACCATCATTCCAGGAAAAGTAAAACTAATCTTAACAATTAAAATTTGATTTTATTAGCATCATTGCTCAGAGGGAGAAGCCAAAAGGTGTAATTTGGTTGAGAGTTGTGCAAACACATTAAATATGAAAAAGCTCCTCTCATGTCAAGATGTTAAGATATCTAAAGATAGAATAGAAATTATTGATTAAATATATGGCATGCATAATTCTCAAAGTATTCATCACACCAGCTGTAACAACGTGGCTTTAAAAAGCTATTAATTTCTCTGCAAAGAAAGGTCAATAGGCTGATTTTATTGAAATTAATCTTCTACCTGTGAGAAAATTCTAAAACTCTGCTGCTGAATCTATAGGTCATTTGGACAGAATTACAGCAATAGGAGAAACCCAGAAACAGCTCATAGCTGCAACAGTTTCCAGGGATGGTATTTTGAAAATGTGGGATTTGACTCTTGGCAAAGCGGTCTTCACTCTACATGAAATTGGGAAAAATATTAGTACTATCACAGTATGTTTGGACAACAGGCTGGTGGCTGTGTCTGACAAGACCAACATTAAAATTTGGGATCTTTCCTTGCAAAAAGTGGTGTATAGTTCTGGTGAATTTTTGGATACACCAATACTAACATCTTCAATGAATGGACAACTTCTGATAGCTTTTTTTAGTGGGATCCACAAAATTCAGGTGAGTTAGTTGTTTAGAAACTCAAAAGTCTATATGCTCTGATTAGACCTAGCTGGAAATATTTTTTGTCCTTTGCTCAGTTGATATTCATAATTGTAAAAACATCACAAACAGATGATTTTGTTAGCATTGCTTTTCAGAGGAAGGAGCCAAAATTTATAATTTAGTTAGGAGAGTTGTGCAAATACATTAAATATGGAAAAAGCTCTTCCTATATCAAGATATTTTGATAGTTTCCCAGGAACATTGGGGAAATAACCCAGTAGGCAGAAACCAGCTTTATCTGCATATGTTGTATAAAGAAAATAAAATCAACTAATTTCAATAGGAATTAAGTATTCCTTTTTTGTGGATGTAAATAATCAGATTTGTTAGATAAATTGTTTGCTAGAGATTCTTGAAACAATGTGTTTTAAAAAATCATGCTTAATTAAAAGGGTTCTTATACAGGTGGTCCTGCTTATTAGCAAGGTTCCATTCCAACCAAGCTACTGGAATAAGACTACTGTAAATATATTTTTTTTCTGTTCAATTGGCTCTGGTTCTTGGAGACTGTCTGGACAAGTTCTTGCAATTTTTTTACAAGGTTTTTCAGAAGTGGTTTTCCATTGCCTCCTTCTTAGAGCTGAGAGAAAGTCACCCAACTAGCTTTGTGCAAGGCAGAACTAGAATTCAGGTCTCTCAGATTCTAGCCTAAGGTCTAATACCACCACACCAAACTGGCTCTCACAGTACAAGAAATGCAATGCAAAATATAACTTACATATGATAAAAGTCTGCAGATGTATAAAGTACATTTAAAAACTCTATAAATACATGATACTTTTACCCCTTGTTAGAAGAGCTGGTCTATATTTTCCAACTGCAGACAATGAGACCCTAGAATAGATAATAAGGCTTTCCTGCATAACTAAATGATTCCTTTTTATTTTTCCTGTTATATTCTACAATGCAGGTTTTAAAAAGAAGAGGGAAAATATGGGGCTTTAAATTGATACGAAATAGCTGGCAGCTGGTTGACTATTTACTTTCATCCACAAATGTTTCAGGTTTTTGATCTTGTTCATTCATGCCAACTGCTCCATGAAGTCTACCTTTTTTCTGAAGAAGCTCCTATGCACAAGACTCATTCTCTACTAGTATCAAAGAACTCAGTAAAAGATTATGTTCTGTGTGCGTATAGGTTAGTGTAACTTAACTTCATGCTAATAAATTATTAAAATTCTCTACATAAAAATAAGCTATTGGTTCAGTAATTCTTGGTTTGCAGAATGTAGTAGATTCCATGAAGAAAAGCCCTATAGTTATGGCAAATTTGCTTGACAATTGTTCAGGCACTACTTTATAATACAAGATTTTCTCTATTTCTTCTTGCAATATTAAAGATGGGATACAAACAAACAAGTAAATATCAGGACTGAATGCTGAATCCTGAGTTACAGTATATTGAATACTCTCCTTTTTCAGGAATTTCAGTTAAATAATAAAGGATTGTCATTTAGGGAGGCAGAATTGTATAGCCTTATCAGAAATGATATAGTATGTACTAGAACCTGAAATTAGAAATAATTCAAGACAATCAAAGAAATATAGCTATGAACAAGAGATATATGAAGTGGCAAATACTTTGGGAGGGGGGGCGTATCAGTGACTTGCTTGGTTTTATGACTTATGAGACTTCGAATAGGGAGGCATATGGGATGAAGGAATTGCTGAAAAGGGCCAAAGAGGCCTGGCTCATTGGTTTAGATCTTGTTCTGTATTTTTTTTTATTGATGGCTCTAAAAATAAAGATTAAAAATATAGTACTCAAACTTACATTCTTAATGAGCCACACATAAATCTGTGAATAAAAAGCATTTTTTAAAGAATTGATTTTGCAATACAATAGTTTCCATCTGTATTTTTTTCCTCTTTTTTTTTTTTTTTTGCAGAAGTGCAAGCGAAGCAATGGTTTTCAGTGGCAAAAAGGGAGAAGTAGTTGCTAGACTGAAAAGCCAGGAACCAATGGCTGCAGCTGAGGGGGTGGCTATCACTAAAGATTATTTTCTTGTGATCTTCAGGTAGTACCATCAAATTATTCTTTTACTCTCACCTAGCTGGCTCTTTCTTTGTCACTTTGTCACTTTCCCACATCCCTCAGTCAGCAGAAAACTAAATCAGCTTCAGGTCTGCGGTCCCCATTAAGATCTTGACCCAGACTCTGTTTCAGGGCACTGAAGCCCCCTAGCCTCCCTCCTAGGTTACAAAGCCTAACAAAATTTATACACCTTGTGGCTGCCATTGAACACTGGCAAAATAATTAAAATACTCTTTATCATTGGTTCAGTTAAGACAATATAAAGCTAGGAACAAGCTTTATATTGGCTAGGAACAAGATAAAAACAAATTGAAGGGGACATCTATTTGACATATCGGGCATTTGAAGATTCACACATTGGACTAAGAAATAATATGATTTGGTTAGTTTTGACATATGTTTTGTGAATATAGTCAATTATGGCTTATTTAATAAACCAGGACTAACCAAACTGTGCCAATCACAATTTGTAGATTCAGCCATTACATCATGCCAGAACCATACCAGATTCAAATTTTATGTAATGGAACTAGTTTTAAACACATTTGTATATTTTTCATAATAAAGCTAGGTATTCATATTTTTCTTTGTTTACATGTAGTATTTTATTCTATAATTCATTTTAGACATACTCAGGAGTATCTATCTCATCTAAGACTAATTATCTTGTTATAGGTGCCCTTTCATACGAAAGCAAGAAATTGTTCTTATAGAGCTCTACAATGTCCATACTTTTGCTTATGCTCATAGTCTGAAGGGTTGCTGCAATGATTATATTCACACTTTTGCTGTAAATCGTTTGGGATCTCATCTTGTGGCATTTAGTCCTATTCCAAATACTGGTACTACTGAGATAGTATCATGGAACTTGGAGTCTGAAGACCACAAACACTTGGCTAAATTTCCTTCAGTCCTTGTCGATGGTAAGTATTTTTTCTATGAATTTCAAACATTTTTGTAGAAAAAGTGTGTAATAATAATCCAGAAGTAAGAGGCTTTCCCCATTCAGTAAGTAAACAAGAATATCAAAATATAGAGATGCCTGCTCCTTCTCATTCAATCCTGCATTTGTTTTCAGAAATTGACTAACATGGGTGGAGAGCTACAAAAAATCTACAAGTCAGTAAAAAAAAAGTATGGCCAGCATAAAGCCATTATGAACTTTAGGAATAAGACATCTGTAATGCTCACAGCTGACAAAACTTGATCATTTTTCAGAATATAAATAGACTTCAAGAGTATCAGAACTGGCTTTCTCCAGAGACTGCTAGTGCTAGTTTTAAATCCAAGTCTAGCACTCCTTCAAAAAATACTGAACACATAAATAAAAGAGCTAGTACTCTTTGAAAAGAGCATTAACCCAATACTTGAAGGGTAGAGAGCAAATCCATATCAGCCTCAAGCCAATAGGAGTTGATCTGACCAAAGGTCCTGACATTAAATATTAAATATTCAATGAGCCACAGCAGATGGTTCATATGACAAGACTTCTTTTAACAGAAGACCAAAACCCCTACTAGAATAATTATAAGCAAATCTAGGTTGCTTCACCAATGGCCTAGGGATAATGCAATGGCATTCATGAGGAAATGTTCTATAAAATGGTTATCAGGACATCTTTATGTCAAGGTTTGTAGAATGTTAAAATAAGCCCTACAGTCCATTCTCATCAGATGCCATTTTTAATGGATAGTATCTTAAAGGTCCTTAGGAGAGTTTAAAAAGTGAAAATATCATTAAAATGTAGCAAAAGAATAGTCAGTGGGAACATGGGCAGCAGTGCTTTATACAAACAAACAAAATCATTTATAATTTAAATTAGATGTATTGAACTAGAATCAATGGAGGTAGAATTTTCCTTGTCTTCATTATTATCCTCTCGACTTTTTCAGTTTTGCCTACTATGGTCCACCATGCAGTTACCAATGTTACTGAAAGATCTAGTAATAGATTACAAATAATCTAGTTAGTTCCATAGCTAGAGAATATATTGCTCAAGTGATAGATGAAATTCGGCATTTCCTTTATTTGTATTGTTTTATACATTTCACTTTTTTTCTTACTATGCTACTAATATCTTTTTCTTCCAAATATATCCATTCTTTTCATAGCCTTGTGTTTTTTAAAAAAATTTCAGCAGAATTCTTAAAAATGTCTGTGTGCCTACATTGCACATGCAAGAATAGCCAACAATCTAAATTTTGCCCAATCATTGCCACAATATGAATTATATATATATATAAACACACACACACACACACACAGTTTTGGATAATTTTCCTCAATAAATAAATGAATAAATTTATTTAGCTTAGGATTTATGCAGATCACATTTTAGATCATATTTATATAGAAATACTGAAAATTAAAAGGCCAGGAACACTTCTATTACCAAAGCACTGCCCCTCCAGACCTTGGCAGATACCCTCAATTTTATGGTCTGGGACAAAGTTATTCTAAATGCCAACTCTTAGCCTTTTTAATGGTATTTTCACGAATATCTTCCCTAGACCAACTCAAGCTTTAATTGATATTTTTAAATGATCACACAAGCATTAATGAATGTTGAGATTTATTGAACAATGGCCAAAATGATCTTTTCTAATTATCATAATTCATGTATCTGTAGGTATATGCTCTGACCTTCGATATTGTTTAGCATTCTGTGATGGAGATAATTACCTTCGATCCTGGAACTTGGCTTCCAAAATCAATGACCAGTCTTTGACTGTCACTGCAAGCAACACAAAGAAAACAAATGGTATTCAGAATATTGTGACAATGAAAAACTATCCCAGGTAACCAAAATAGGCAGGAGGGAAGTTTATGTTAGAAGTAAATTATGTGTATCACTTTGAGACCCGGAATATATTTTTCACCAATTCTAAAGGCAGGACAGAAGATTGAAACAGCCTGTTCCCAACGTAACAGTTCTATTTTGCTTGTATTTACTGTATAAGCGAAACAAGATTGTGGAAAAACCAAAGGCTACAAAAGTTTCTGTAGGACTGAGAAAAAATTAGAAATTGGACCTCCACAATATTTATGCATTTATACTCATTGCCTCATTTATTCAATATTTATGCATTAATATACATTGCCTTATTTATTTATTTATAAAATTTATAGGTCATCCAATTTACTTCAACATAACCCCTATTACTGGAGGACTAAGTAGTTTTATATTTAATTATGGTAATTTTATTTTATGCTGTGCTAAACAAGCCTGGAATAACAGCTCAAGGCTCTTAATGGGAACCTGTGAAATAGATACGCACAGAATTAAAAACATTGGAAGCATTTGACAAAATGCCTTTGCATATCAGAATTGAAGATAAGTATGGCATTACAGGCCAGGCATTGTATTTCAGGATTAGATGCTCATACTTCTGATTACATTCCTGGCAGTTGTCACAAAAAATAGAATAAATCTGAACCAAATTAACCTTCTGCCACATCATTCTTTTTGTAGAACATATACCTTAGAGTTTACTGCATTGAAGCAACAACTTACATATAGAAATATCTTTTCATTTTAACATTCAGTTTACCTGAACAGAACACCAGTTTTTCTCAAATAATGTAACTTTAATCTACATCATCTTGATTCAGTAACAAAGATACATTGGATGTTGGAGGGTTTGTTTGTTTGTTTGTTGCTTGATTTGCTGTTCATCAGATGAGTGGTTTTGAATTCATAACTGCCTTCCTTGCCATCCACTATCACACAGATTTTTAGTTGTGGGGCCAAAATGAGGGGAAATCCCCAAGTAAGCTCTTGAGCTCTTGGAGGGAAGTTGGGACATAAATGCAGCGCACAGTTCATGATAAAGGAAGCAAGTGGGCATATAGCTGATCACTCAGTTGTACATATTGCAATTCTTAATCCTAATTCCATAGCTCAAAACAACCAACTATCCTACTTCCACATAAAATCATGTTTGTTTTTATTTTACTGCAGTAAAATATAATGGTAAGGAATAGTGTTTCACAAGCAAATATATGGCAAATTACAAGAAACTTTTTTCTTGCCATTTTTTCAACAACAGAGAAATAACAATGTTTTGACATTTTTGCAATATAATAATAACAAGATTATTTATATCTATCTTTCCAAAGGTATGCTGTGTGCCGAAACACAAGTCCGGGAGTCATAGCAGTATGGAATATTTTAAAATCCAAGTGTAAACATAATGCTGTGCGGGTGGAAAGAGGGCTGGTAGAGAACACAGACGTTGTACTGGCGAGAGACATGAAACTTTATATACTTACAGGCAAGGGAATAGCCTCCTTTGCAGATCCTCCAAGATCAATTTTCCAGGTACCAAACACATTTTTTCCTTTATAAATACTGATTCTTTGCTTTTCAGCTGATTTCACAAATGGTGAATTTATTGAGAAAAAGTGGAGTCTGATAAGAAAATGATTTTGTAGTGAATGAGGAAAACCTTATCCAAACTGTAGAGAAATAAAAGTATTAAAGGGTTTAAATATCTTTGAAGGAATTAATGAATTTAAGTCTAAATTTGTCAGTTAAATCTAGAAAATATGGGTAATCATCTATTCCTGAATAATTGAGTGCCGGAAAGTTATTTTATAGAGAAAAATAGTGGATAGAAGTACACTAAAATGGTAGATATATGTGTGGAATTAGGGATTGTCTAATTGTTAATATGTGTGTGGCAGGAGGTATTGTCAGGATGGGGCCTAAGACCACCTAGTATGAGAAAACCAGGAACATTTAGGGTTCCTAGATGTACATGTATTACAATTTAGCAGGTCTTTCTCTACACCAAGCAGAAATAATTTTTTATGCAATTCCAGACGCTGTTAGTTTATGATCTTCTGAAAAAGAAGTACATAAAGAAGCAGAGTGGGCTTTACATAATTCCTTGTCCAAATAATGAATACAAGATGCTAGAAGGAGGCCTTCTACTTGGTCTTTCTGAGAACAGGTAACATCTTGCAGCTATTGAAAAAGCACATATTTATATTACAGGTAGTCCTTATTTAGGGACCCCAACTGGGACCAGCAACTGAGTCATTAAGCAAAGCAGTCACTAAGTGAAATTGCAATTGTGCTTATGATCGGGCGAGAAACTGCTTAAGGTGGAAAGAAATTGCATTATTTACACCATCTATCACTATTACAAGTTTAGAATAGTTTTAAGTTTCAAACCTTAACCAATTAATCTTTTTAGAAAATTGTACTTTTTTTGTGAATTGTAAAATCAGTGGAGTCAGTATAACATTGCAAAATCAGAAAGCTCAAGTCTGTTTTGAGACTGAAAATAAAAAAAATCAACATGAAGTGGCAATTCTTGTGATAACATTTGAATTAATTTTAGCAGATAAATTTAGCAGAAATTTGTAAACTCAAGCATTCTTTTACCTTTCAACATACATTTTAGATTAAATTTATCTCCTATGCTTTATTACAAATTAAATGTTTACTGTATATTAATAGAATTTCTAATAAAAAATAGTACATTTTTGGTTGTTTTGTCTGATTCCTATTGTATTTTCAGAGACCATTTTGTTACTTGGAACTTGGAGACAGGACTTATTAAGGATCGATTAAGACCAGAATACAAAGAAAATTTTGTCTTGCAATGTACTCAACCCACTACCCATTCCTCATCCAAAGAAAACATGAAGAGACCTAAAGGAGTTTTGTATAAAGAAAAAACAGGTTTCAAATATTTAATTCTACTGAAAGTCTAAATTGTCAAAGCTAATTCTATGCAGTAATCAGTAACAATTGAAACATAAAACCATTCCTTGGTAAATTGGAGAAACCACAGAAAACCCATGACGTCAGGTTTATTATTTTTGGCTTTGCATTTTGTTTGAAAGCTCACACGACTGCACGATTGTTCCATTTTATCTTCTGAATAATAATAACTTTCAGTTTTGTTGAAACAGAATGACTTGTTAAACTCTATGATTCATCTGGAGATTTGAACCTTGGTGTTTCTGATCCAAATTCAATACTTTACTTTTAACACTTTACAGCAGGTGTTTGGTGGCTAGCTGAGTGAATACTGAAGCTGGGGGTGGCACTGAGACTTTGAGATGCTTGGCAGTGCATCTTTTGGGGCACTGGTGAATTTATCACTTTTTAAAAACTGCTGATATGCCACTCAACATTGCTTGTCAGGCTACATGCTTTATAGATGTTCTTAATTTTTAATACATAGTTAACATAACTTATTTAAAATAACCTATATTTTGAAGTCATACAGAAAGTTTCCACAACATTAGCTTATTCTTGGCCTGTGTGATCCATTTAACAATCATTTACATATACAGCTAAAACGCAGAATGGGTATAATTTCGTTTTATTAAACTGATAGTTTCTTGAGAACATTGCAAGCATTTGAAGTAATATTACAGGTAGGCAGAGAGCAGAGAAAAAGTAAAATAAATTAGTTCTGAAATACCTAATTTAATTGAAATATCTATCAATCTTCAAAGAATCTATTTTTTTTTTTAATTTTTAAATTACTGGCTACTTTTAGAACTGTTGCTTGAATTTTGCCTTAATTCAGTTGTGTCCCCAAAGAGTAATTCATGTTTAGGTATTTACTCCCACTCTACTCCCCCCTATGCCTAAAGAAATCAATCAATTTGGTTATTGACCAGCAAAACAAATATTTTTGGGGGGGAAAGGGACACTGGATATCAATGCACCCTATACAGGACAAAAATTGTCTAAACTGAAAAAACTATAAAAACACAAAATACAAGTAAAATTATAAGTTTATGAAGTTGGGTCATAAAATTAATATAATAAGCCATTATGCAATTTGTATAAGACTTGTTTAAGAATTTAAAATAATAAAATTACTAATCCAAAATATAGAACCATTATAATTATAATTGTACCGGATTTGAAATGAATACCTAACACTAACCATCATTACAAAGAATGTTCTTCCTGCGTTAACTCACAAAATTCAGACTGCCCCAGGAGCTGCTGATACTGTTCTATAGGGGAATGACTGAGTCTGTCATTTGTACTTCTATAATTATCTGGTTTAGTACAACAACCAAACAGGACAGATATAGACTTCAATGGATAGTTGAAAGAAAGAAAGAACAATTGCAACCAGGCTGCCTTCCATTGAGGACCTGTATATTGCATGGGTCAGGAGGGCTGAGAAAATATCTACAGACTCCTCACATCCTGGACATACACTGTTAAACAATTAGGTCCAGGCAGTTTTTTCCCTCATGCCATCATTCTGCTGAACACCTACTTACCACAGTACTGTCTTATATCTATTTAACCATCTAGTATGGTTGTAAGCTTTATCCTTCTCATCTTTTCTACTACCTTCTTCTACTGGCATCTTACGATTATATTACTTTATTGTTTGTATGTACAGACAGTTTATGCACCGGAGACAAATTTCTTGTGTGTCCAATCACATTTGGCCAATATTCTATTCTGTTCTGTTGTTATTCTCTCCTCTCCTCTCCATTATTTTATTCTTATTATTCTATTCTAATGCAAAAACACCAGCTTCCTTGCTGTATAGCAACTACCCCAGACTCTGTTACCTGTTTCAGGGCACTAAAACCCACTAGCCTCCCTCCTAAGTGACAAAGCCTAACAAAATGTATACACCTTGTGGCTGCCATTAACACTGTCAGAATAATAAAAATATTCTTTATCATTGGTTCAGTTAAGGCAATATAAGGCTACCTCACTCATGGGCTAGGAACAAGATAAAAACAAATTAAGGGGACATCTATTTGACTTATGGGGCATTTGAAGCCAATAGCTCTTTATTATTATTCTATTCTTATTGTATTCTAATGCTAAAACACCAGCCTCCTTGCTGAATAGAACTACTCTACCTAAGCTACCTGACTCCATTTCTGTGTTGGCAATGGAATCCCCCAGATTCATGGTTTTGGGGGACTTCTTTCTCTAGGAAAGAGGTATGAGGGAGCATGTCAAAAATGCCAGTTTTTGACAAAAATGGCATAAATCGATCAAATGACTTTGGGATGCTGCAAATAGCCATAAATTCAGGTCATTTGCTGAATGGCTGAAATGTGGTCATGTGACCATCGGTGGGTTAACCATCAGAAATTTAGTATTGGGTCGTAAGTACATTTTGGGAAGTCCATTGTAATTCTGAATGGTTGCTAAGTAACCAAATGTAAGTTTAGGACTATCTGTATTCACTATCTCTGCTTTGGGTTTGTACATTTTTAGTTTTAATAATCTCTATTTTAATGCTGATTTTTCTATTTTTAAATGTCTGTTTTTACCTATGTATTCTTTTTCAAAAAATACATTTTTCTGACTATTGTACACCACTCAGTGTCACTACTCATGACATGGGTAGCTATATAAAATTGAAAAATAATTAAATATTACATCTAGAAAAATGTAGTAAGGTAATGCATAAGAAAGAAAAATATGTGAGTAGTGATCATGGTTTCAAATCTAAAAGTTAGACTTCATCTATAGTGACTATATTGTTAAAATAGGTCTGGTAGCTAATAACTACAATAAGAGTCAATTGACAATAATGACATACTGTAATATATTGTTATGAAGTAGAATGAATAAATAGACAGCTCTATTCGAATTGTGGAACATATCTAGAAGGAAGAAAAATTATGTTGTATAAATCATGAAACAATATTTGGCTGTTATTTCTGAAGTAGAATCCAAATGATCTGATAGTAACAAATTGAGACAAGAAATCAGTGCAACCAGGGTATCTGATGCTGGGTGGGAATACTAACTTCTGATGAGTGTCAGCACAGAGGCAGCAGTACAACAGAACATCATCTAGCATTTCGATTGCTCCTCCACTGTTCAAAAGGGATGTTCTTTCCCCTCAATAACTGCTTTTGGAAAGACATTGGATCAAGCCATAGACAGAGCCATTCTAAATTTAGGCGATGTTATGTACTGAGGCTTCTGGCTAAGTGAAGTGGTGTCTTGGAAGGGTGTTTCTGGGCAAGAGTTATAGATCTGATTGTTGCTCTAAGTCAATGGCATGTTGTTAAAGACTTGCATATTTGTAACCCATCAAGGTGATAGCTGTCCATGAGAAACCATAGGATTTAAACTTTTCATGTATTGTCTCACACCAGGGAGACTGGAAGCTGTCAATTATAATTAAAGCGGCCACTTGAGGAAGCTTTCTGATTTTGCTAGATCCAGAAATGATTCTTTGGTCCTCAGGAAGTCAATTTTATATAAGCATAAAGAGGTGCTTGAATCAGTTGAACTGTTTTTGGATATGCATTCTTGAGAAATGGGGGCTATTCCACATCAATAGCTCTTTCCTCAATTGACTGACTGAGATGGTGGCAGGTATACCATGCCTGCATGGAAACAAAATTTTGTTGCATGGAAACAAAATTTTTAATATAAATTTGCAGGACAGGCAGACAATTAGACATTGCTTATTCAACATTCTCTCTTCCCTATAGCCACCAAAACCTACGCTGTTTAGTGCAAAGTAAATTCTTTATGTATCTCTGGCGTGTGACCTGCCAAGCTTGAATAGTTTGGTATCAGCTATTGCAGGGCTGTCAAACTCAGCCCGCGGTCCAGATGCGTCACGTGATGGCCACGCCCCCGCCCAGTTTAGTGAAGGGGAAAAAAGTCCCAATACGTCATGTGACGCCGCTGTGACGATATGAGTTTGACACCCCTGAGTTGTAGCCTTATTACCATTCCATCTAAAAATGAGAATAATTGGTTTTACCAACCAAACTCAAATCCAAATCAAGCCCTCATAAATTTATTGAGATAATGCTAGGTCTATTTCTGATTTAGATCCAGGTGTGCAACAAAGGAGCAATTACTATAACTGAGTGCTCTTTCACCAGTTTCAAAAAACAGTATGACAGAAGGGTTTCAAATTGCTGTAGTAATTGCCCTGCTTGTAAAAAAAGTTACACCAAAGAATCATATTTGGAAGGCTAAATTGAATTTAGTAGTAACCTTCTTCCATTTTCATATATAATAGAAACAGACACTCGTCTCACACACAAATTCAATAGCAGATAGATTTTAAAAATTGAGGAAACTTTTAAAATAATTATCAGCAGTAGATACAGTTCATGGAGAAAGCTGAAAATATCACTATGGATCTCGGCCTAATCATCCATTTATGGAAAGCAACATTAATCTTAAACCCCAACCCTGTTGACTTTTTGCAAAACTTTAAAATCCAGGCCTGGGATTCGGAATATGTTAAGGGTCCCATTACTAGGTATTCTTATTAGTTGATTAATCATCATAGCTGCTGTTCGTATTTATTTCGTGAATGTTTTTATTGCTTTAATTTTTTATTAACTGTTTTACAATTTTAGAATTGTAAGCTACCCAGTCAGTTGGTTGAGTTGAGAGGCTATAGAAATTTGTAAGCTATCTTGTTGAAAAGCACAACTAGAATTCAAATTTTGTTTTAATGCAGTAGCCCCCAATCTTTTGGGCATCAGAGACTGATGGTTTTTCCATGGATGGGGGTGGGGGGCAGTGGTTTCACACACTGCCTGGATCCTGGACATACATGGATGGGGCTTCGCTCATTTCCGCAGTCTGGCTCTTGACTGGCTGCAGACTGGGGTATGGGGAGCCTTGATTTAATGGATACAATCATGTCTTTGTAGAAATCTGAAACTATTATATGTGGCAAAAAGTACTGGTACCCCACCTTTTCCCAAAGAATCCCAATTTGCTGCGAAATAAGTTGAAACTGACACTCACTATTCTTTATTCCTCTAATATTTCATAGCATACCCGTTTGAGACAATAATGGCAGTCAAGCATTTTCTGTAACTTTAAATAAGACTTGTACATTTTTCAACTGGCAATTGCTCCAGTTGTCTCAGGTTTGATGGGTTGCTTCCTCCAACTTTATGTTTCAGGGAGAACTATAGTATTGGCTCCTTCTATAGGGGAAGGGTATTGTTTTGGCGCAGTAATGGTGCAGTGATTAGAATGCAGTATTGCAGGCTAACTCTGCATTCCGTTGCCAGGAGTTTGATCCTGACTGGCTCAAGGTGGACTCAGCCTTCCATCCTTCCGAGGTCAGTACAATGAGGACCCAGATTGTTGGGGGCAATATGTTGATACTGTTAACTGCTTAGAGAATGCTGTAAAAACACTATGAAATGGTATATAAGTCTAAGTGCTATTGCTATTTATAACTTGCTATTGTCCTTTTTAGATTTTTTTTAAATTTCCTCAGCCTAACCTACAATCTTTTTTCCTAGAAGTCTCCAAATACCAACCAAAGCCCAAGATTGCTTAATGTTTGACTCTGCTGAGACAAAATAGCTGTTAAAGTCCTTTAACACCACTATTAAGAATCACAAAAATTACATGAAATGGTATTTCATGTGTAATACCATTTTTTTTTTTTTACATATGCCTTTCTCTTAGCATTATGGCATCCCTGGGAAAAGCGAAATGAAACCAATACTGGAAAGAAAAGGAAAAAAGAAAAGGCATTAAAACTGGAGGTAGAGACATTACAAAAACTAGCTAAAGAGAAAAACAATACTATTGATCAGTTCCTCCTGAGTGGAGATGAGAAGGTGAGTTATACTTACCAAATCACCATTTATACGTATTTGTACATACTTATTTAAATGTTAACATGCTTAATATCCTACATGTATTCTTTTGTTCTATAAATATATTAAAATATAACTCATTTGACATTGTATCTTTTCAAAAGTTAACTAATGCAGACTTTTCAATGCTGGTATCTTCCTGTTCTGTGTGGTACAGATGACAGCATGATGTCTTGCGCATCATACCAAGGTGCCATTTATTATGTACCATATTTTTTGGTCTATAAGACATACCAGTATATAAGACACACCAAGATTTCAAAGAGGTAAGTAAGAAAAAAAAGGTTTTTGCCCTCCTCGGCCCCAAGGAGCACTCTGCAAGTCTCCCAAACCCTCTGCGTGCTCCGCTTTTCACAAAAATGGGGGCATTTTTGCCCTCCCCTAGCCCCCAGGACAGGGGTGAAATGCTACTGGTTCGCTCCAGTTTGGGCGAACCGGTAGTGATAAAAACTACGGTTCAGGCGAACCGGTAGTAAAAAAATGCTTTAAAAAGTAAAAAAAAGGTTCTGACGATCACAGCTGTGCTGCGTGATTGTCAGAACCATTTTTTTTTTACTTTTTTAAAACATTTTTTTACTACCAGTTCGGACCAATAGGTAGTAAAAAATGCTTTAAAAGTATATATATATTTTTAAAAAGTTGGCCACGCCCACCCAGTCACATGACTCCCCCAAGCCATGCCCACAGAACCAGTAGCAAAAAATTTTAGATTTCACCACTGCCCCAGGAGCACCCTGCAGGCCTCCCAAACCCTCTGCGCTCCCCGTTTTTCACAAAAATGAGCCCGTTTTTGAAAAAAAATGGGGTGCACAAAAGTTTGGGAGGCCTGCAAAGTGCTCTTAGGGGCTGGGGGAGGGCAAAAATGTCCCCATTTTCCCCCAAAACAGGGGCATTTGTGCTCTCCCCAGCCCCTAGGAGCACTCTGCAGGCCTTCCAAACCCTCTACGCACCCTGTTTTTGTGAAAAATGGGCCCATTTTTTGCAAAAATGGGAAGAGCGGGGCTTCGGGAAGCCAAAAACGGCTGTATTCGGTGTATGACCCACCAACATTTCCACCCTCTTTTAGGAGGGAAAAAACTGTGTCTTATACTCCAAAAAATACGCTATTTATTTTTTAATTTGTACTTTGCCTTTATGCTTAAACAAGCAAAGGCAAGTAACATTAAAAAATAAAGAATTAAAAATATAAAATAATAAAATTATTAACAGAACAGAAATGAACCATTGCACATTTTATAAATGCAAGTAAAGTGGGACCCAAATGTGTTTTTAGAATATAGGTAGTCCTTGGGTTACAACCATGTGCCCAATCACCATTTGAAGTTACAGCGGTGCTAAACGGGGGAAGTATGTCCAGTTTTCAAAGTTGCAGCCATTGCAGCATTCCCAGTTATTATTACATGATCATTTGGATGCTTGGCAACCAGCATGAAATTATGACAATTGCAGCATCCTGCAGTCACGTGATTGCCATTTGTAAGCTTCCCTGCTAGCTTCCCATAAACAAAGTCAGTGGGATAGTCGGCAGGAGGTTGCAAGTCCCCCAAGACTGCAAATTTTCTCCTGGGAACACCCAGGAAAACACCCATGAGACATGAGAATGTCATACTTCAGAGCATTAGGCCTCTTGCCCATACACAATAGAATGCGCCTGTTACTCCTAGTACCCATCCATGGCTCCTGCCTGCTTGTACTCCATAGTCCCAACTTGCCTGCCTGTAGCTTGACCACTGGCCTGCTTGCCTATGATTGTTTCAAGGGCATAGCAAGTGCTTCTTCATACATCATGGTCATGTGAGGTTCACATTTGATGGCAATGGGGATTGCTAGGATTACTGTTGCTAAGCGATGGTCACATAACATCATGCTTTATGACTGCATTGCTTAGTGATGAAAATTCCAGTCCCAATTACCGCAAACAAGGCAGTTGCTCAACATAGGCCACCTGTATACTTAGTATTCAAAGATCCTTTAGTATAACAGTCTTAACTGCTACATTTTGCACCAATCGCAACTTCTGGATACTTTTCTGTGCAGCCCAACATAGAGCATATGCAGTAATTATTTGGAGTTGAATTTAGCTCGTTTTAAAATGGAACAATATAATATCCCACTCATTGTCGTAGCTATATAAATTTACTAAATATAAAAAAATAAAAATGTATTTTCATATAAGTTTTGCTGATATATAAAGGAACCCTGTGTGAACAGAGTACTGTGCAAAAGTGCTAGGCAATTGTGCAAAAATACTGTAAATTAAGAATGCTTTTACAAATAAAAGTGTTAATAGTTTATTTTTTATCAATAACAAAATGGAAAGTAAATGAACAGAAGAGAAATCCAAGTCAAATCAATATTTGGTGTGACCACACTTTGCCTTTAAAACAACATCAATTCTTACACTTGCACAAAGTCAGGGATTATGTAGGATTAGTTAGGTGTACAATTAACCAATTATACCAAGCAGATGCTAATGATCATCAATTTCATATGTAGGGTGAAAGTCATTAACTGAAACAGAAACAGCTGTGTAGGAGGCTCAAAACTGGGTGAGGAATAGCCAAACTCTGCTACTCAGGTGAGGTTGTGGAAGAGAGTTTCATGTCACAGATCATACACCCTGAGCACAAGAACAAGACAAAAGGCAGTTATACTGCATCTCCCAGGCAAAGATTTCGAAGCAGACTGGGGTTTCAGGATGTGCTGTTCAAGCTCTTTTGAAGAAGCACAAAGAAATGGCCAATGTTGAAGACTGTAGACACAGTGGTCGGCCAAGGAAACTTAATGTAGAGATGAAAAGATACATCATGCTTATTTCCCTTCAACATCTGAAGATGTCCAGCAGTGCCATCAGCACAGAACTGGCAGAAACCAGCGGGACCCAGGTACACCCATCTGCTGTTCAGAGAGATTTATTTTTATTTATTTATTTTTATTTTATTTCGAATTTATATACCACACCTTCTCCCGAGGGACTCAGGGCGGTGTACAGCCAGATAAAAACATATAATACAAACATTAAAAACAATTAAAAGGATATATATTAATTTGGCCCCAATTTAAGATAACAAACCAATGAAAAAATTAAAAATATGTTAAAAAATATGTTAAGCCAGCCCGGCTTGCTGAAAAAAGAAAGTTTTAAGGGCACGTCAGAAGGCACCGAGGTCTTGGATTCTCCTTATCTCTGGGGGCAGTTGATTCCAGAGGGTAGGTGCCCCCAGAGAAGGCCCTCCTCCATTGTTTGGCTGATGGCACCCCGAGGAGGTCCTCTGTGGGAGCGCCCAGGTCGGTGGGAGGTCATCAGTAGCAGCAGGTGGTCTCGAAGATAACTAGGTCCTATGCCATGGAGCGCTTTAAAGATGGTAACCAACACCTTGAAGCGCACCCAGACCATTGAGAGCCAGTGCAGCTCACGCAGGAGCGGTGTTATGTGGGAGCGCCAGGCGGCTCCCGTGATTACCCGCGCGGCCGCATTCTGGACCAGATCTGGCCAGAAGTGGTCTTCATAGAAAAATTGCAGCCAAAATGCCAAACCTCCGATGTGGAAACAAGTACTGTATATGAATACTTAGTCTTAGAGCCTGGGGTGCAGCAAAATGGCAGTGATCTGGACTTGAGTCAGAATTTGAAATATCTGGTTATAGCAGTTTGTTCACCAAAGGGCTGGAGAGTGGTACAATAATGAGTGTCTGCTGGCAACAGTGAAGCATGGTGGCGCTTTCTTGCATTTGGGGCTGCATTTCTGCAAATGGAGTTGGAGTTTTGGTCAGGATCAATAGTGTCCTCAATCCTGAGAAATTCAGGCAGATACTTATCCATCATGCCATATCATCAGAGAGGCTTGTGTTTGGTCGAAAATTTATTCTGCAACTGGAGAATGGCCTCAAACATACATCCAATGTCATTAAGAACTATCTTCAGCATAAAGAAGTTATGGTTTGGCCCTCACAGATTCCTGATCTCAACATTGAGTCTGTCTGGGATTACATGAAGAGACAGAAGGATTTGAGGCAGCCTACATCCACAGAAGATGGTTAGTTCTCCATAGATATTTAGAACAATCTTGAAACCTTGCTAAGTTTTTTCAAAAACTGTGTGCAAATGTACCTAGAACAACTTATGCTGTTTTGTAGGCAAAGGGTAGTCACATCAAATATCGATTTGATTTGGAATTCTCTTCTGTTCATTTACTTTCCATTTTGGTAACTGATTAAAAAAAAACTTTTAACATCTCTATTTCTAAAAGAATTCTTAATTTACAGCATTTTTGCACAACTGCCTAGTACTTTTGCACAATACTTATATTGTTGAAGTTTAGTGCTTCTATAATTTATTTCATAAACAAAGTAATCAAACATGTCCTATTACACTGAAAAATAATTGCTCCCTACTTCTTGTCTTTTCCCTCTAAAAAGTAGCAAGGCCAAAACCTTTGCAGAGGGGAACCATGTTGCTTAATTTATTTTTGCCAGATGTTAAATATGTTTGTTTTAAAAAGAACTGCCTTTCTCTTTTCACAGATAGCTGTGTGTTCCTACTATGCACATCATCTATCAGTGTTCAGCTTGGAAACCATGTCCTATCGCCACACACTTGAGAGCAAAGAATCAATGCTTTTTTTATATAATGCTACCTTAACATATACTGGGCATTATCTAGTGCTTTCCAATTACAATGAGGAGGAAAAAATCAGCTATGTAACACTATGGAATTTAATCACAGGAAAGGTATAATTTCTGCAATACTTGGGCAACAACAAAGTTTTGTGGTAGCTTGGTTTCCAAATCAAACAATGATAAACAATCTAAGGTCTCTGCAAACAGTTTGTGAACTAACACAATTTATCTTATCATTTCCTTTCACGTTTCCATTAGTTAGTTTAAAATTATTCCTAATTTTGGAATGTTTGAATTGGGTTATTCTATCATCAAACTATTCCTTCTATAATCCAAATTATCCAGATCTACTACAATACATCTTTTTAGCAGAGTTGCAAGAATGTCCAAAAACATCTTTTTTATATGTTCAAGAATAGGAGGTAAATATTTCAAGTCTTTATTTTGCATTTTGAGGCACATGGAAGGGGTAAAATAGGTAGCATAGTCTTAATGTTGCAGATGAGTTATCTTTTATTCCTTAAAAATCTCACTTCCTTCCCAAGAGGGTCCTGGCCCTGCCCAGTTTTGAAGTGTGGCTCTTGACATTTGGGCATTTTACTTCAGCCATTATTCCTTCATTCCTTGCCTTTCCACAATACAGCCAAGTTCTGAAAGAATAAGGATGAACAGGAAAACATTACCTGCAGTTATACACCTGCAAACCGATGTATCTATAGTGTGCATGAAAAGTTACCCATAACCAATGTACTCAATTTATTTTTCTCCGTTATAAAAATACAGGTTAGAAAAAGATTAAAAAACGAGCCTAATGTCTGCTGTACAGCCATTTCTGCAGATGGCAGTAGGATCATTTTTGGAGTGATGGTGGATAACCTGTAAGTAAATACTAAAATTTATAGTTATTACTAGAAAGAATTGTGGCGTGCCCAATACATTTCTTGGTTGCATTCCACAAAGATACTGAAGCAAGATGAGAATACAGGTAGTCCTCAACTTACAGTCACAAAATTTATATTGTTAAGTGAGAAATTTGTTGTGAGTTTTGCCGCATTTTACAATTTTCCTTGCCACATTTGTGAAGTGAATCACTGCAGTTCCTAAAGGTCACAAAAAGGGATCACATGACTCCAGGATACAACCATCATAAATATGAGTCAGTTGTCAAGCTTCTGAATGTAAATCACATGACTATGGGGATGCTGCAATGGTCGTGGGTGTGAAAAATAGTCATAAGTCACTTTTTTCAGTGCCACTGTAACTTCAAACGGTCACTAAATGAACTACCTGTACATATATATAGGTAGTCTTCAGTTTAGGACAATTGACCCCAAAATTTCTGTTGCCAAGTGAGACAGTTGTTAAGTGAGTTTTGCCCTATTCTACAATCTTTCTTGCAATAGTTGTTATTAGTAACACAACTGCTAAACGAATCTGACTTTCCCATCAACTTTACTTGTCAGAAGGCCATAAAAGAGGATCACATGCTCTCAAAACACTGCAACTGTTATAAATATGAACCAGTTGCCAAGCATCTGAATTTTGATCATGACACTGTGGAGATGCTACAACAATTTTAAGTGTGAAATGTCATAAGTCACTTTTTTCAGTGTTGTAATGTTGAACGATCATTAAATGAATAGTTGTAAGTCAAGGACTACCTGTAGCTGGAGACATTTATGTGGAATATTAATATTATACAATATTTTATAACAATTCAAGAGAAAGTTGGATATTTTTATTACATACAGAAAATGTCAAAGATTGAAAAGATAAATGCAACTATTCCTTGAACCCATTTGGAAGATGTCTGGCTACAGTCTGCAAATACCACAGCTTTAAGCTTCTTAGTAATCAGTTAATAATACCTAGTGAGATATTTTTGCATTTAGATACAGATTCATAATAATCAGAAACAACTTGAGGTAGCTTTGAGAGGTTATATATTCCAAATGCAACTTCTCTACCCACTAATGTAAAAGAAGTTGATGTATCACAGACCTCTTTTCAAACTTCCAGGACTGTTAAAAGCTATTAATTATTAAACTTAGCATACCACCAAAAATAATATAACCGGCACTAGATATTTTTATGTAAATGTGCAAAATGGATCCAACTATATAATTAAGATGTACTGCTTTTACAAAAAACAGAAGTTATTTAAATAGTCCAGTATAAATTCAGACAGTGGAGTGATTCGAAGTTTTGCCAAAGTTAATTATAATTACCACTTCATAGTGCTTTACCGCACTCAAAGTGGTTTCCAGAGTCAGTATATGGCACCCAACAATCTGGATCCTCTTTTTATCGACCTTGGAAGGATGAAAGGATGGGTCAATATCTAACAAAATATGATGCTATATACAAAATAATTATTAAACAAGTTATTTCTCAGATTACAATGTGCTATTTTCTGATTTCCTGTTTAAAAAATAGTAGGTAAGGTTGAACTAAATGCTAAGTTTAATTATATCTATACTGTTATCAATTCTAAATAATGTCCAAACTGATACATTTTTCCTTGTGGTTTATAGGATTAAGATTTGGGATCCATTTAAGCATAAACACAAATTAATGCAAGGTTATGAAGGTCTTGATATGACTGTGAATAGCAAATTGCACATATTAGATGGAACAAAAGCAATTCTACTTGCAGGTTTGTTCATAATTTCTTTTGTAGGTTAAAAAAATGTGTTCCAAGACCTATATTCTTTTGATTTTTAATATTATAACCTGTTATTTATAACTACTGCACTTTTCGGAGTATAAGATGTACCCCCCCCCCCAAAAAAAGAGGGTGGAAATATTGATGCATCTTATACACCAAATACAGCCATTTTTGGCCTCCTGAAACCCCGTCCAGCGCATCCAAAAACAGGCCCATTTTTCACAAAAATGGGACGCAAAGAGTGTTTGGGAGGCCTGCAGAATGCTCCTGGGGGCCAGGGAGGGCAAAAACAGGACTGGTGGGGGGTTCGAAAGGCCAAAAACAGGACACGCAGAAGGTTTGGGAGGCCTGCAGAAAGCATTTTATTCATTCAATGCTGAAAATTCTGGCACCACAAATAGAGGTGCATGCAGTTCATAGACTGCAAGTTGCATGTCCCTATCCTCAGTCATGGGTGTGGGGTTTTTTTCCTAAAATTTTGCTTAGATTACCATCATTAATAGAACATGCTTTATGGCTCAGCTTGCTGTTAAAATACAGCCCACTGTGGGTTATTAATAAATTCTAATCAATAAAATACTGTTTAGCACTATGTCTACAGTGGTTAAAGAAAGAAAAGATGATTCAGTGTACATGGTGCTGCATGTGTCAGCGACTCTTTAATTCAATTGATTTTTTCCTGAAAAAAAAATTAAAGCTGTTTAAGCCTAGGAAAGGTAACTGCAAATTGTGACACATAAGCCTTCCCATGTTTTCTGAATTATCCTCTTCCCCTTTGAATCCAGAGTGATACATCACCTCAGTATTCAGATGCAATTCAGACATTACACAATTTAATATCCATTAATTTTGACTACACAATGGCAATACAGTGCTATTGTTTTGCAAAGTTTAATCCAAGCCAAACAGATTCCACAAGAACTTTGCATAACATTATATTCTCATAACAAAGAAGCATAAGCTTCAGTAAAAATGTTAGTGAATCGAATATAAAAACAGATTTAAAAAAATACTTTTTGATACCTATGTGCCTATATATAAATTACAGTCACAAATCTTACTAACCAGGATACTTCTGAAGAATAAAAGTGGCAACTATAGCAGTACTAAAAAATAACCAAAAATTCTTATTCTGTTATTAATTTCAGAATTTTATATTCTATTCTATTTACCACCAATAAATTATACCAAATGTGTTTTTAATCTTACTGCTATAGATTAACCAACAGAAGAGAGTTGTTATTAAAATGAAGGAAGTTTCCAAGCCAAACTAAATGTAGTAACATGCATTTGTCTCTCCCACTTTAGGTGAGGTCAGTTTCTGGGATTTGGAGAGTGGCACAGTTATATCCATCTTTACATTTGATAGCAAAATCTCTTGCATGACTGTTGCCTGTGACAAAAAGACAGTTCTTTTAGGCTTGAGCAACAGCTCTACTCTTACCACTTTGAAAATGATGAGCATAAACACTGCTGAAAATTCAATAGGAAAAGATTTGTTTGGAGAAGACTCATCAAGCAGTGAAGAAGAACATGAAAATATTTAAAAGAGAATTTGAACAAAATAAAATCGAGCATAAACAAATGAAACTTGACATAGTTTAAAAATCATTTTTGTTTTAAAAGCAATTGCACATATCTAAAAGAAGACAATAAGCAATTTGCACATAACATAAAAAGACAATAAATACTAATTCTCCTACCTGTAAATTAATTCTCCCTTCTCCCCAATAATTATCTGCAAGTCTAAGGAGGAGAAAGATACAGCTGATAATGTAGAAAAGTAACTGAAGAAAATGAAACTTTGCTGCCACCAGCTTTGCCTTTCTCTTAGCCCCATATAGTATTGAAAAAAATTATGCAAGATGAGAACCTTTCAGTCTTTACTCCCCATGTAAAAAAGGAGTCAAGAAACTAAAGGAAAATCCCGACAGAAGAAACTCTTCACTGAAAGGAATGCAATGACCACTTTGACAAGTCATAAACATAAGAATTACTGAACTCAGCTGGAGTGAACAAAGAATAAGTTTGTACAAAGGCTTTAATCACCCCATTACCATTCTGCAGAGAAAGGAGAGTGGGGAAATGTCTCCATACATTAAGGACATATTCCACAATTTATATACCTGGATTTTTTTTTTTTTTTGTGGTGATGTTTCTCTAGGATTTGTTGGAGAAGTCTGTTTATTTTAATCTTCCAGCTTTTTGAGACATTTTAATTTTAGCCAAAGCATAGAAACAATGAGTAACAATTTAATTATGAAGTTATATTTAGAAAACATTTTATATATAGAACAATAGCTGTTAGACCTGTTCACAGTGCTTTACAGCCCTAAGTGGTTTACAGAATCAGCATATTGCCCCTAACAATCTGGGTCCTCATTTTACCGACCTCTGAAGGATGGAAGGCTGAGTCAACCTTGAGCCTGGTGAGATTTGAACTGCCAAATTGCAGGCAGCCGGCAGTCAGCAGAAGTAGTCTGCAGCAGTGCACTCTAACCCAGGGGTGTCAAACTCGATTTCACTGAGGGCTGCATCAGAGTTGTGTTTGACTGGGGGTGGGGGGGAGTGGCCAGTTCAACATCACTCGTGTTGTGGGTGCCTGTTGTGGGTGCCTGTGGTGGCCCAAGCACTCTGCCACAGGCTCCTGAGCTCCGTTTTCGACTGTGACAGCCTCCCGCAACGCTCTGCCAGTGAAAACGGAACTTGGGAGGACCTGTGACCTGTGGCAGAGGCACTGCAGGCCAGTCCTTCACTGTTTCCAGGGCGGCTCCACAGGCCAGATCTAAGCACCCCATGGGCCAGATCCGGCCCACGGGCCTTGAGTTTGACACCCCTGCTCTAACCGCTGCACTACCACAGCTCTTTTCAATATTATTTTTTCAATTGGAAATAGCCATGCTAAGAAAATACTTAACAGCTCACAACATTATATTGTTTTATATAATATTATATAAAATATAATATTCATCATATGAAATGATTCATGCAACTCTTAGAAATCACAGATGCATCCAAAAGTATTGCTACTCCTTACTTTTTCCCAAGAATCCAATTTGCCATGAAGTAAGTTGAAACTGACAAAGTAAATGCCATTCACCATGACAGTTCAAACAATGGACACTTGGATGTATGATTTAACAGATTCTTGTAATTACTAAAACAAGGGTGTCAATAGTTTTGGCCAGAAGAGACTAAACACTGGCTTTGTAGGGAAACATAGACATGTATTTTCTCTGCAAGAGGAAAAGGTGCCAGTTATTTTTGATATCAACTATAAAACAAGTTAATGATACTATTACTATTAGCCCATTTTGTGAGGTAACTTCCCTTTTTAGTCATGTTAAACATTGCTCATTAATACTCTTTTTGATTATATTGAAACTTGCAGAGATAAGTTTTAGGTATTATATTGTGTGATGCAACAGAATATATGTTATGCAAACTGCAATTTCTGACTATTCTTACCTTTAACTTTTTATAAGATACATGGTTAAATTTGGAGAATTAGAAAGAAATAACACTTCACATAAGAATTCTTTTCATTCTGATGTATAAGACTGTTGTAGGCTGTCAATAAGATTTATGGAACCTGAAATGAGTGTGCATGTAACGTAGTAACAATTAAGGAAAACTTCAATACTCATACAAAATGCTAGTTTCACTCGCGCTTTAACAATGTATTATTATTGTTCAAGATGTCATCAGACACAGAATAATATAATACATGCATTTCATATTACCATGTCATATCCTATCTAGAATTTTACTTTTCAATCCCATTTCAAGCTAGACACATCCTACAGTATGCTTAACTGTATTTTATATGCCAAAGAGAACTTATTTAAAAAAATCCTAACAATCTGTTTATACAAATTTAGAAAGATACCTTCTGTATACAGAAGTTTTTTGGATTCCAGCCTATGAATGCATGATAGAAAAAACTGGGGGAAAATTCAGATACAATTTTACAACCAGTATTTTTTATTCATAAATCATAGCATGCAAAATATTAGATCCAAGTAGCTGATACATTCTGGTGGCACATTTCTAATTTCCATGTGCTTATGCTTATAAATTTTGAACCAAGGAGATTGTCATATTATATCAAGCAACATTATATTAAAAAAAAATCAAAACAGAACTTCATAGCAATAATACAGTTTCTCAAAATAGGAAGCATTATAATTTTACTAATGTAGTTGACTAAGAATCAGTTTTTCTCAAAAGTAGAGACACGGGCATTGTGGCTGTTTTTATCAGAAGTTAATGCACATCATTCTCTGGGTACAGAAGTATTGTGTCCACAAACAGCTATGACTATGTAAGTAGTTTGTTTTATGGTAATGATGTTGTAGTGCACATATTAGTCAATTAAAGTTAACATTCTTCAAAATTTTACACACAATCATAAAATTACTGTGTGATTTCTTTCCTTGGATCATCCAGAAAAGTAAGAAGTAGCAACTACAGAAGCATATTAGTAAATTAGAATTTCCTTTAAACTGCCCATTGCAGAACTATGTTGGGGGAGGGGGCAAATATTCAAATTAAAACATATTATAGCTATATTATGAATGTGCAATTAGTGTCCCCCTAACAAGGTAAGACATGATATTTATAGAAGAAGGCAATGCCATTTGACCATGACATACCTTGTGGTCAGTTTAGTGGATACAATTAATTCATAAGATACAATTTCAGATTCAGCATAGATATAACAGCCATATGAAATAATCCAATCCTTACGTAGTAAAACAATTTCTAGTTAAATGGCTGAATATCTTTAGTTCACATAATGCAGCTGTGCTGCCATGCTTTCAAAATAACCATTTTTGAATATTTAAATTAATTTGAAATTTTTGTAGTATCCAAGCTTTTTTTTTCAAACCTCACTCAAAATGTAAGAAATGGCCAAATGTTATTTCACACTATAGGAATTCAGTACTGGAACTTTTTGTTGGCCTGCTTTTCTTTTTACTTTACAATAGGTTTACTTACATGGAGTCTGTAATGTCTAATAAATAAAATAAAGTACTCTAATTTTCTAGAGAAAAATAAGATCAGTATCTGGTAAAATAGTATATGGCATTAAGTTAGGCAGTCAAATGACTAAAGCTGTATATCATCAATTTCAAAATTGTTCCATTAAAGAAATATTTAGTTTGGGGATACTTTTAGTTATTGTTTCAAAGAAATGCCATTGTTCTTAATGTAAATTACTTCATTAAGAGTTGCTATATTTCAGATGTACGTTCTCTCTATGCCTATAGGACTACTCTTCTAGAGAATAACAACTTTTTCCTATGAATGCTCTTTGCTCAGCCCTTAGAGCCTGTAAAGCAAAATAAAATAAAATATTAAGACCAGTCAAGCTTACTTCACAAACTGATCTTACAGTATTTATGTATTCTTTGTATATCTAAATTTTGCAACATGATTACATACTTTTTTTTAAACATCCAAGGAATTATGAACAAGATGTCACAAAAGGACTGAGCATAGTGAGAACAAATAGTTCAGTTTAGGACTGCAATTAATGCTGATTGCAACTCTTCCAGTTTTTGTTTAATATACTTTCTTTAAACGGACTTATAAATTCACCACAAAATTAATATAAAATAAGTTAATGACATATAGATAGATCACATGGAAGACATGAAGAAAAACTGGTTTTATATTTTCAAAGGCTTAAAATTTAAAGTTTGGCAATAGATTCAAATATTATCTTTAGAATTCTGAAGACTAAAAGCATCATAGAACTAACATGTTCTCAGCAAAATGTGCTATACTCAACTAAATTTACAATCACAATTGTTACAAATCAGTTTTAACATGATTATCTTTCCAATCTTTCCTCTTCATACATCACCATAATTCCACAATTAAAAAGAGCAAGGAATCTGGAATTCCTAAATTCCTTCTGTGCTACTCCCATGTGACCCTGCTTGGAAATTTTGGTTTAGTGCAGAATATTCAAAAGCAGAAAAAAGTATTAACATCTGTGAACATTCCAATAGTATTGTACATCTTAAAAATTATTGCATAGTTTTATGCATTATTCTAAAATACTAATCTGCTTATTAAATAGTTTTATAGAAACCACACAGCTGTCTGTGCACTAGAGCATTTACTACCTTGATCTTCTATCCTTTTTGGATTTGTCTGTACATTTATCCATAGTCTTCTCATTGTCTCCTCTGCACTTTGGGCAATACCATTTTCCCTTTGGTTTATAAGTGAGTCCGACACATGAAAAATGAAACCACTCAATGGGACACAGATCATTGTCACAGCCTATCATTTCTCCATAAGACACTTGGTCACAGAGACAGTAAGTTGGCTCATTAGGGTCAACTGCAAATTCTACTGGTGAAGCTTCCCTTTCTTGTTTAGCTTTAGAGCGTTTTTTCTTTTTAGCAGATTTGGATCTTTTTTCTTTAGGTGGCTGGTCATCATAGTCATCAATTCCATTGGCTATATGGCATATATCACGGCTTTCACTAGTACGTTGTCGGCGGGGTCTTCGTGAAGATCTTTCTGGTTGACATGGATCCTGTTTGGATTTTTCAATAGGTTTTTCAGTATCT